TTTGCCCTCAGTGGGGCCGAGTGCCCAGGGCCTCCCCGATGTGCAGCCCCGTCTGGATCACCTGCAAACTGAATTCTGCAAACAGCTCTCAAAGCCCCTGGGACGTGGGGGCAGGGGGAGCAGGACCCCTGGCTATGGAGTCCCACCTTACCGTGCGCCAGGAAGCAGGCCCCCTCCTCACGCCCACTGGCTTGACTGCCCACCGCACCTCGAGAAGAGGTAGGGCCCAGAAAGGGAAGGGGACGGGATGGGCAGGCACAGTGAATCCAGGACCCACCACGGGGACCCAGACTCCAAGCTCTCAGCTCCCTGTTCTTCCCACAGCTCAGGCGCCACCTGCAGAGTGCCTCAACTCAGGTCTGTCACAAGGCAGAAAACAGTAGTGTAGCCATAGTGCCTTTGGCAGGGAACAGAGCAGGATTTGGAATTCTCCAGACTCGAGCCCTATAGACCTGAAAGTGGACCCCAGCTTCGCCAGTGATGTGCTGTGTGGCCTTGGGCAAGTCACCACCCTCTCTGAACCTCGATTTTCTCATCTGTAAGCTTTTGCTCTGAAGGCAGGGAATCCTAAGGGGGTGGGTGGGCACCTGCCAAAAGCAAAGCCGGCTGCATCTGGGAGGCAGTGACAGCCTGTCTCCTCCTGTCTCTTCCAGCATGGAGGAGGTGGGAACCATTTTTGGAAATGCCACAACACAGATCATTAACGTAATAAAACCCCCAGAGCTTCCTCTGGGCTCCCGGCACCTCCCCAGGCAGGCTCAGCAGCGAAGATTGAGGAGGTCTGCCCATCTTTCTCTGGAGTCTCAATCACTCCTACTTGAGTGTCCTTCCGAGGCTGGAAGCAAGGTCGCCGCCACTCCTGGGGAGCTCAGGAGTCATCGGCTCCCGCATGGGAACACAGGTGGGGAAGAGGCAGGACGCGGACCTACTGGAGCCTCTGGGCCTCAGGCCCCAGCCAGCTGCAGACACCAATGTGAGTCTGAGAAACTAGGTCCCAGATTAACTGCCCACAGTGTCCCAGAGGCCACGTCCACCTAACTGGCCCGCCGTGGCTTAGGCTGAAATAGCCAGAGAGAGCTGGGGTCTCTAGGGACCACACAGCTCACCCAAAGGGGGGTGTGTGTGTGTGTGTGTGTGCAGCTAGTGTTGTTGATCTCCAAGGAACATGTATTATTTCTATAATGAAGCTTATTTTTATTTTTTTAAAGATTTATTTGAGAGAGAAAGCACGCGCATGCACATGAGCGGGGGAGGGGCAGAGGGAGAGGAGAAAGAGAATCCCAAGCAGACTCCGTGCTGCGCACGGACCTGAGGCGGGACTCGATCCCACAGCCCATGAGATCATGACCTGAGCCGAAACCAAGAGTTGGATGCTTAATCGACTGAGCCACCCCGGCTTATTTTTAAAATCTACCCGTTGCCAAAATGCCCACCTGTGTCTGGCCTATGTTTCACTTCAATAATTTTTCAGCCCACCCCCGGCCCACCCCAGGGAAGGCACCCAACGTGGACTCAGCAAGAGCTCCCAGTGCCCTTCAGGGTCACCGGGGCTCAGAGCCAGCTTCAGGCCTAACCCAGCAGGCCGCATGACCGTGCTATCCCACCCACTCCAAGGCTGGAGCCAATTAATTAACATGGATTTCTACAGATGTTTCCAATGATGCAAGCAGGGAAGAGCGGAAAGGGGAGCCCTTGAGCTAAAGAAATCCTTCACTGTAGAGCTCTTCACTCGAGGGCTTTTCCCCGAGGAGCCCTGAAAAGTAAGGCTTGGCGTTGGAAGCAGACACCGAGAACGTAGCTTCGTTATGTTAAAAATTAGAGTGACTCCAGGCTTCCTCGTGTGAGGAGAAACCCATTTGGATGAATCTGGAAAACCCTCAGGCACTCGACATTTTGGGGCACCTGCTGTGGGCCGAGCCCCACCCCTGCCTTCCTGTGGGCGGGGCCACCACAGGTGCCGTGGGGCAGTCAAGGCGATTCAGGGGCGCTCCTGAGAGGCGGTCAGGGAAGACCTCTGCTTTGCCCCGAGCAGGTCCCGGAGACGCCCCAGCGCCGTTAGGCCACATCTTCCCACGTGCTCGCCGCACAGAACAGGACGCTGCCCGTCATCAGCTGTGTGTCTCCGGGCTGGTGACCACGGTGGGCCCCTCCGATGAACGAGGGGGCTGCACCTGAAGCTGAAAGGAAGCGCGTGTCCCACCCATTTCCCCGTCAAAGCTTCATGACAATTTGGCAATTTGCAAAGTCTCCAGGCAGCTCCAGCCCGCCAGCCCACCTTCAGACCCCATCGCCCCTGTGTCCACACCCGTTTGCCCACCGGGGAGCTCCTCCACACCCTCCAGGAACCGGCTCGGTGGTCCTCACCCTCAGTGAGGCCCCCCTGATCCTCGGCTCTCCATCCGTTTCGTGGGCCCCCAACCCCCATCACTGCACTTAGCACACCTCTCGGCAACAAGCTGTCTGTCCGTCTCCTCACGGGCCTGCAAGTCCTGGCAGGCACCAGCTGCCTTATTAGCCTCTAAGTCCTTCACTTGCAGCCCAGCACCGGGCTTAGACAGGGATTCCGGAAATAACGTTTGTTAAATTCACTGTCGTCAATCAGGGTTCCTGTCAAGGCCCCGGGAGTCAACTAGAACCATCAGCACCTCTCTTCTCCCTGGTCCCAGCCAGCCTCCCTGCGGAGACGTCACTAGGGGATAACGGTGGCGCTGAGAAGTGGGCAGGAGAGTCCCCAAGATCCACAAAAAGCAGGGGCTGATTTGGTCAAATGATCTCAGCGGAGCCTTACAAGCTCAGACATTTTGCAACTCTGAAGTCTGTAACTTAAGCTTCTTCAGAAGAGAAATCAGGCCTAGCAGGATCCATCAGAAGCCTCGAGAACATGTGTGCCGTCACCTCCACATGGAGGATGCGGACCCGTGGAGACCGTCACACAAGCACGGAGATTCATGTGCACTGATGCTCGCTGCAGCAGCAAACGTTTGCAATCAGAAAAACTGTAAACAAAGCATGTCCCTGGAATGCCCTCCGCCATTAAAAATCACGTTCTAGAACAGTAACACGGAAACGGTCACAGCGCGATAATGAATAAAAGAGGCTGCAAAACAACACGAGCTCAATTTTACAATGAAAAAAAGGAAAAGGAAGAGCAAAACCATATGTGTTTGTACGTATTTGGGAAAGAAAATTCACCAAAATATTAACAGTGGTTTTCTCTGAGCAGTAGGATTAGATGACCTTTTTAGCTTTCTGCATTTTTCACTACAGTATTTTAGTCAGGAAGAAATAAAAAAGGCTATGGAAAAGAAAGTCAACCCTCTGTGGCGTGAGGCCGATGGCAGACAAGTGGAAGAAAAGGTTGGAAGTTGGAAGTGTTTCATCAGAACCATCCCAGAGCCAGTGGCTATGCCTCGGGTGGATGTCACTGATGGGGACAGACCATCGTGACAGCCTCCCTGCACTCAAAAGGCGGCAGAGCAAGCGGCCCACTCGGTGAAATCCTCGGCATTGTCAGTCCACGGCCAAGACTGACTAAAGGCTCGCTGGGGCCTCCCCCTGGCCCCTCCCTCAGAATGCAGTCTCTGGGTTTGTCAAGGGCCTGAGAAGACACCAATTCCAGCCACACTCCTTAAGGCCTGCTCTGTGCCAGGCCCTACAGGTGGGTGGGGCGGTGCACACTGCAGACAAGAGGGATGAGTCAGGGGAGCACAGGGGAGCAGACCCTTTCTGCAGGTCACCCAGCCTCTGCTTGCACACCTCCAAGAATGGGGAGCTCACTACAACCCACACAGCTGGAGCCATGCCCGGCAGTCTAGAAACAAAACTGCTGGGCCCACCATATTCCCTGCAGCCTTTCCCCTACCACCCCAAATCCTGCCTCCTCGAGTTCCGTCCCAGCTCTCAGGCGACAGATCCCATCCCTTTGCCCCTTCCATCTGCCGGCATTCAAAAAGCCCTTTCACCGGCTCAGGCGTAGACCACACTCAAGCCTTCCCACACAGGCAGGTGACATGGTATTTATAGCCCAAGAATAATTGGATGTTAATTCCTTTCTGCAAAAGAGCGACTGGAGTTTCAATTTCCTCTTCTCCGAACTCTCAAGTGGGGCTAGCTGCAGCTGGGAGGCTGTGATTGACACGCGTGCGCACACACAGCCCAGGTACCCCTGCCCCCCCAGCCCCCCACAGTGATGCTAATAAAGGCCTCAGAAGCAGAAGCCATCAGCCCCCCAACTCCTTCCTCTCCAGTTCTACCACCGAGCCAGTGGCCACCCTCACTGCAGGTGAGCAAGCCTCTTCCAGCCAGGGCTGGGATTCCACATGACAATCTAGCCTCGTCCAGGGGTGCCTGGCTGGCTCAGTCAGTGGAGCGTGCGACTTTTGATCTCAGCGTTGTAGGTTTGAGCCCCACGTTGGGCGTAGAGATCACTTAAAAATAAAATCTTAAAACAAAACAGAAGAATCTAGCCTAGTCCTGTCAGTCTGGTCACCGGGACCCTTAAGGCAGGAGGAGCTGCCGATGCGTCATCCCAGCAACCTCAGGACAAGCACGACTGCCACACAGGAATGGCTGACCAGGCCCAGCTCTCAGACACACCACTGAGCCCCGAGTGCCCTCTCCTGCGCAACCTCTCCTCTCACACCCGCCACCCACTCAGCCCTCTACCCGGCTGCTGACCTCCAGCGAGACTTCGGTCCACCGACGGGCAATGCCTGGCTGGGTCTCTCGGGAAGGATCCATTCTCTAGGAGGAGGGGTGGCAGACCGCACCTGGGCTCCACACCCACCCGCACCGCCAGGTGAGCCTGGGCCCTGTGTCTCCCGCAGCTTAACGGAGCGGCTGTCTAGGAGACCCCACCCAAGCTGGCCCTCCTCTGCGGTGCTCTCCCGGGGCCCCGCCGCGGGCCCCGACCTCACTGCCCTGCTCCCCACCAGGACGGCCCTGCACCTGCACATGGCTGGGGCGGGGGGGCTGAGTGGAAAGACGCTCCCTGACTAGGGTTTATATAACAACAACATAAGCATTTTATTTTTTCATTAAGCTTCTTAGTTTCTTAGTATCACAATGGAATGATGAGAAAACGAGAACAAAAAAACCCACAAGTCTGCAAATCTCTGACGAAGAGCAGAGACTTCAAGGCAACCAGAGGGGAGGGCAGGAGAGGCTTGACAGAAGTGCCAAAACAGTTCCAGCATCAAGTCTCTCCGGGGCCGGCTGGGCCGGGGGCGGAATGGTGAGAAGGTGGCACTGTCATGAGCGGTCCTTGGCGTTTCTGCCTCGTGGCTGACGTCCGTGGGCACGGCGCGGACCAGCCCGCAGGATTCCCTGGGGCCTCCCTGGAACCTGGTCGCACGACCCTCCGCCCGCTCCCGATGCCCTGGGCACTCAAACCAGCGCTAAGATGCACCCTGCAGCCCACTCGGCTGGGTGGGCAGCAGGAGAGAAGCGTGGAGAGGGGCGGGGGGCAGGCACCGCCGTCCAGGGTGCGAGAATCCAGGGAGCGGCCGAGGCCTGTCCGGGCGCCGTCCGTGGCAGAGGGCGGAGGGGAGGCAGGTGACAGCCGGAGCTCGCGTCCCCTGGCGGTAAGCAGGCCGTGCTAGAGCTTCACGGTGCCGGGGGGCAGGCTGTCATTGCAGAGTCTGTAGTAACGCAGGTCGTTGACCAGCCTGTGCACGTTCTGGGTGAACGAAGGCAGGTCCTGGAAGGCAGGGGCACAGCTGCAGCCCAGTCCCACCCAACACCCCAAATCACCCCCCAACCCCACCCGAGCTACTTCGATCCTGAGGTGGGCCTCAGAAGTCTGCAAAAGCTTTATGATAGTTAGAATATCTACACCCATCATGCACCACGTGTCAGCCAAGGCCCTGTGGGAGCCCACCACAGGCCAGCCCCTGCCCCAAGCAATCCAGATGCTAAAGTCACTCCACCTTCACCACGAGCCCACGGTGCAGGTTTCATTAGTGCCCCCGTGTGAAGGGTGAAGAAAGTGAAGCACAGAGAGATTCCGAAACTTGCCCCAGGTCCCACGGAAAGAAGGGAAGGGGATCCAGACTGGACTCGCCCGTCAACACAGGTATGTCTGCCAATGCACACCTCTCCTTCACCCCAGCTGGCCGAGCCGTAGCCATAGACTCCTCCCCCACCCCGGGCTCCGGGCAGGCCCTCCCGATCAGGAGGGACACCCCCACAGGAGCCCACAGGCCGCAGACACCAATGGAGAGAGGACCCCTCGCAGCTGGAACCCCCAACTCTACCATAACCCAGCAAGACCACCCGAGGTCCGCCTCCTTGTGCTTAGACCGGGATCACTGGGTGCCACACTGCAGGTCCAAATGTAGAGTAACATCAACGGTGCCTGCCACAGAGCCAGTGGGACCCCACGTGGCTGGCCGTGCCACGGCAGTACCTTCTGGAAGCCCGCTAGCAGGGCTCTACGGTGCGCCTCGGCCCACCCGCCCTTCACCTGGCTAACCTCTCCTCTTCAAACTCACCTCAAAGCCTGCCTCTGCCAAAGAGGCCCCAGCTGGTGAGGCGGGCACCTCTGCTCCTCACTCTCCAAGTGCCCTTGGCCCACCCCGCGTGTGGGCCGTGCACGCTGGCTCTGCAACCCCGGCATCCAGCCAGGAATCCTGCTTCCTGGCTCTAGCATTCCCAAGTTCTCTAACTGCCAACTCCCAGCTGAGCTTGCTGGGCCTCGGCTCATCTGTGAAATGGGATTAGTAACAGGATCTACACTTCGGAAGGTTGTTGGAAGGCTTCCAAGAGCCGGGGCATGTGAAGTGCTTGGCCCAGTGTCATCCACAGAGGGCGATGCTGCCTGTCTTCCCAGCAAGGCTCCTTTGAAGGCGGGGAGAGGGACTGGAGCCCCAACACCCTACACAGGGCCCAAGAGCCAGCCAGTGTCAGGTACACGGTAAACAGATGAATGAAGGCGCAGGTTTGTTTACTTATTTCATCCTCCAGAAAACAAACCAAAGGGGTGTCTTTTAGATCAGTGGCTCCCAAATGCCAAATTCAAATGTCCTGGGTGGGGGGGGAACACAAGAGTACGTTTCTGTATATTTAATAAGCCCCCCAGGTGCACAGATGCAGAACTAGATTTGGAAGGCCACCGCTTTCTCAATCAAGACATTGACTGATAAGGACATCATTAGAAACTGAGAGTTAAATATTAGGACTTGGCCTCAAGGAACAGGAAGGAACACTACCCAAGTGGCTGAAGTGAGCTTCCAGAAGCTCAGGAGAAGACAAGACAGATCCCGGGGAAAGATACATTCCAAGGCAAAGGAAAACAAGGAAAGGAGGAGTCCAAGACAAAGGAAAACAGGAACTGAGTGAGTCTAAGAGAAAACTACCGTGATGCATATCACAGATGAGATAAGCAAGGAATGAGCAGAGTTTGCTCCAGCAAGAGCCCTGTGTAGGTCTGCACATGGAAGTGGGACTGCCGGCCGGCTGCTCCAGCGCAGGAGGCAAGGCAGGGACACCACGAGGATGAGGGAGAAAGGTTTCATCCTGCCGTGTGTCAGGCGGTGAAGGATGAAACGGACTCGTTCCACGGGAAGAGTTCCAAGAGGGGCCTAGCTGGCAAGTGCAGAGACCTAACGGCTGAGAGAGGAAAGGGGGCAGGTGAGTGTCCAGACAGGACACCCCAGGACAGGAGAAGCTGGGGGCCATGGGACCCAGACACACCGGCCACAATGGCTCTGTGTGCATCCAGTGCCTTCACCACCCCAGCCCCCACTCCATTCCCGCCATGTTCCCTGGGCGGACAGCAGGTCAGCCCACGCTGAACCAGGAGGTCTGGGCAGAGTCCAGGGGCCCATCCCTAACCCTGGGGGGACTCCGAGACGTGGCTCTTGAGCGCCAATCTTCCCAGACTGTCTCCAAGTTTGGGCTATAGTGGCTCAGGACCCGGGAGAAAACGATGACTGCGCCCAGGGGGATGGGTGTGCTCGATGGGGTGCAGAGGCAATCAGACAGACTGCTGGGGCCGGGGCTGGGGCCCGACGGCTGAGACGAAGAACACGTTGGCTGCAGGAGCCCCCACCGTGGGGAGGCGGGACCCCCCGCGTCCAGCCACAGCACCAGGTTGTTCAGGAGCCACTAGTGGGCACAGACCACACACGGAAGTGGCCTGCCCCTTCCTCCCTGAGCAGGTGCCAGGGTGAGAGCCCACGCCTGCCCTCCCCGTAGCCTGGCCTCCCTCTCCTCACCCGATCCATCTTGAAATTCCGCCCCAGCACATTTTTCTGGTTGGCATCCACGCCGTCACAGCTGGTCAGAAACTCTGGGAGGAAGGCTGCAAAGAAGCCATCAAAGTCCACAGAAGCCATGTTGTAAATGGCAATGCCGATCTCCTCCTGCAGAAGGTCGTGGGACTTGTGAACCAGGACCTGCAGCAGCACGTTCACAAACTGAAACAGCATGGTGGTCCGGAAGATCTTCTGCAGACAGAGAGGCCGGGGTGAGCGACGGCACGAGGGCTCACTCCGCCCCCGGGGCCCGTCTGCATCCCAGCCCACTTCCTGCCACGTGCCCCAGCTGCTGCCCCAGAAGGGTGGCACTCCGCCCGCCCCACTGACGCCTCGGAGGAGGGACCCTTTCTGAGAGGGGGCGCTGACCTTGTGGTAGAGCTTCTGCTTGGTGTTGAGAGTTTCCAAGTAGAAGAGATTTTGTTTAAATAGGTGGATGTCAGGCTGGAGAAAGGACTGTCCAAAAGCCTAGGGAATAAGACCACTATGTTATGAGCAGCATTTAAAGCACCTCAGACCTGGCCCTCCTAGGGCCCCCACCCCACACCAAAAGAACCAGCACTCTGCAAGTGGTTCCTCATGTCCATGGCAGGATGAGGGTATCCACAGCCTTGAGTCTTCTGGTCAGATCTTGGAATGTTCCTGAGTAGTCGTAGCTCTGAAGTCCTCCCCACTGGGCCTCACTTCACATGTGGGTCTCACCTTGACCTTTTGCAATAAACCTCTGGATCCCTTCATGGATTCCGCCTTTGAAGCGAGAAGCTAGTCAAGTGACTCTAATCAAAACCTCAGCAAACCCAGCAGACTCTGAAGCCTGCCTCCTGCCTCCCCTCAAACCAACCCCTCACCCTCTGTCAGCCACATACCCTCTCCCTGGCGTCCCAACTCTTACAAACCACAAATCCTGGGAGGCTCCTTCAAACTGGCTGCCTCTGCCTTGGGGCTAAGCAACAGCAAATTTTTAAACTCCTTTGCAGTTTCTGGGCTGTCAAAGTTACAAGTGCTAAAGCAAAAAGTAACACCCCTCCCCTGCCAAAAACCCCCAAGCCAGTGATGTGCAAGCCCCCACTCCCAACAAGCTGCTGCCTGCTCTGTCCTTCTGTCCCCGGGCCCCTGAGCTATGAGGGGTCTCATAATGCCTGCTGCAGCAATGGGATCTCCATGATGCCCGATGGTTTTATTTTTTTAAGTTGGGTTTACTCAAGTGTGACACTGAGTAAAACTCACCCTTTTGGGGTTCACCCTTGTGTAATTCTGACCAACACATGGTCATCTAACCACCATGACAATCAAGACACACAACACTTCCATCTCCCCAAAAAGGTCCCTCGTGTCCCCTTTGCAGTCAGTCTTCTCCCCCTACCCCTTCTCTGTCCCTCTGTTTTTGCCTTTTCCAGAACGTTACATGATGGAGTGGAAATCATACGGTCTGGAGCCCTTGGGATCTGGTTTCTCACCCAGCATAACCATTTGGAAGTCATTTACGTTGGTCTCAGTGTCAGAATATGTTCCTTTTTACCGTCAAGTAGCAGTCCCTTATATACATGTGTCTTGGTTTATCCATTCACCAGCTGATGCATATCTGGATTATTTCCAGATTGGGCAATTATGAAAAAAGCCACTATAAACACCTGTAGACATGTGGCATGAATATGTTTTCATTTAGCTTAGGTAAAATGCTTACAAGTGGTTCGTCGGGTAGTAACTACATGCTCAACTTTGTAAGAAACTGCCAAACCGTGAAGCTGTTTTCCAAAGTGGCTTTCACCAGCCTAGTAGAGGGCCAGGTACCCATCTGCCCAAGAAAGCCTAGAAGCAAGGTTGACGTGGGGGGTAGGAGAGCAAACACTGAATATTCCACACCCAAGGCCACGCTGGAGACAGAAGGGCAGCAAGAGGCCAGGGGCAGGGCGTGTGCTCATCCAGAGAAGCATCTCCGCACAGGGACTGCACGTGTGCGTGCTGACGCGGAGCTCAAGGGAGGAAGGCAGAATCCCTCTGGCTACCCCAAGGAGAAAAACTTGCACTGGAAACAAAAACAAACAAAAAGGAAACCCTCTACTTGGACCTGGGCTCAGAATAAAAAGTTCTACCATGAAGTGTGGAAGGACAGCAGTGGACAGTAGCCACAAGGCAGCCCAGGCACCCCCAGCAAGGGGAGGCGCCGCGGCCTCTACAGCAGGGTGCGGTCAGCCCCCCAGGGAGTCCGCTCACAGGGCAGCGCTCTCCCAGGATGGTATGAGCCAGAACGATCTTTACAAGATGCAGATCCCTGGGCCCCTCCCCAAGAGACTCCACTCAGCTTCCAGTTAAGGGGGCCTCCACGTGCTGCTGCCCCTCACACTGGGGGCGCGCCGCTACAAGGCATACAGACAGGTACTTACCCAGCACCCCCACACGTCAGCAGCTGGGCAGAAGCTAACCCAGTCAGCCTCACCCTCGACCCACGAAATAGGCAGCATTCTCCCCACTTTACAGATGAAGAGACTGAACCCCCAAGAACTTAACTAACTTCCTAGATACTAAGAGGCAGCACTGAGCTCTGACCAGAGACTACGTGGCCTCCCCGTATGCCAGGGAAGCAAACCAAGGGACAGACAGCTGAGGGACCCAGGTGGTGTCCAGAATGAGGCCCTCTGTCCTGGGATCATGTGGCAGCCTCATGGGCTCTTGCTGCACATTACCTGCATGATGGCACTGAACTGAGGCTCATTCTCCATCTGCTCCTCAGCGATCCCCCTCTGCACACTGGCCAGGACAGTGGACTTGAAGAAGTACCTCCAGTTGTGATGGAGCGTCCGGAAAAGGAGCTCAAACAGCTCAGCCTTCACATCAGGGGAGGGGCGCTGCGGAGACACACAGACCCTCACACCTGCCCTTCCTGTGGCTCAGAGCAACAGAGGGACCTAAACGATGCCTGCTACCAGCAAGCAGAGTGTCGGTGTCCCACCCACACTCTCGTCTGGTCAAGTCGCCCTCAGGCCGGCAGTTCAAACCAGGCGTACTTCCACAGAGACACAATGCCCAGGCCAGGGCCAAGTGCCCTTTATTCTTCTTTTCTTTAACAAATTTTTTTTTCTTAAAGATTTTATTTTTATGTAATCTCTACACCCACCGTGGGGCTTGAACTCACAACCCCGAGATCACGAGTCACATTCTACCGACTGAGCCAGCCAGGCACTCCGAGGGGCCCTTTTTCTGACAGAAGCACTCAGCCGTCTCAGGCAGGAAAAAAAGGCTACCAAATGGCAGAACAATTAGGAATATGGGTTTCCTATTTAGAAAGCAGCTGATGTGACCTGTCACATCTTCTTGGTCATGTTCCTTTTCCCAGGATAAAAAAGGCTGTCCCAGCTAACCTGTTGATCTTATTATGCAAAACAAGTAAGAAGCTTTAAAAGCAGTTCTGCCCTCTATGGAGCAGGAGTTTAAAGAGCACCTAGAGCCACAGAAAGCAACGGCAGAAGACCTCCAGGGGGAGGCAGCGTGCGGGGCTAACTGCTCCCTGGGCCTGTCTCCTCTGTCACTGGCTGCAGGATTCGGGGAAGGGGGGGGAGGGAGGCAGGCTCAGCAGTATTTTCTAACTGAACCGAAAATCTCCAAGTCACTGGAGGGCATGCCAGGTTACAGTATTCCAGATGTCTCTGGAGAATTCAAAACTGTAAGGCCCAGATGTATTTAATTCAGTCTTGACTAAATTAAATTGGGACCAGAGGGCACGAGCCCCCATGGCAGGAATCCTTACAGGACCCAAATGTGTTTAATGATGCAAAGCAACTGACTTATTTAAGCCTTAGTTAGGACACTTAAAAAGGTTAGCTCTTATTTAACTATCACATAAAATGTAGTTAAATCCACACTTATTCTGGATCTTGTCACGCTGAATGTCTGTTTTCTAAGGACTAAAAGCGTTCCTTTAACAATAAAACCTTTGCACGGTTCCAAGAACTAGCCTTATTATCCTTGAGATCAGTGGAAGTTCTTACTAGGAAAGTACATTTGTTACAATGTTCACTGGAGAAAACCGCATATTCACCTAAAATTATAAATTGTTTGCCATGGCAGACGGCTCTTACTCACCAACCAACCTTGCTATGCTTTCACTAGACTAGTTCTGATTAATTCAACCAATATAAAAAGACTGGACCAAGCTAAAGGCCTTCTTTCTTGGAAAAAATATCTTATGGAAAAAAAACTAGCAAATTAGCTTTAAAACACAATGCCTTTTCTTCACTAATTCCTTCCCCGGGGCAGACAGGAGGCAGCACGGGACCGGCCCAACCCCTCGTACCTCGGCAATGATGGGATACACCTGCTCCATGCACAGGGCGATGATGCTGGGGAGGAAAGGCTTGAACACCTGGCCAGGCTCCTGGACCACCACCTGAAGGATCTTCAGGAACTTCTCCACCACCCGGCATCCAGTGCTACCTTCGTGGAGGATGCTCTCGGCCAACTGTTCTCTGCAGACACAGGGAAGCACGCGGTAGCCAAGGAAATGTTTCTCTGGGGGCCCGCATGAAAACCAACGCTTGTGGCACGTGAAGAAAAGGAGCAGAAAGTCCCAGGCTCTTTAGCCCAGCCCCACTAGTCCTCCCTTGGGAGTCTGGAAGCCACGGCGAACAGCAGGTCTGCGGTTACCTGGTAAACATGTTGAGGAAAGTCTGTATGATCTGCTCCGTGAAAGGCACGCCCATCTGTACTCTAAGGCCTCGAAACAGAGTGAGGAAGAAGCTCAGCATCTCATCGGTCACATCTAAATGAAGGCACACAGCAAATGGTCAGAAGTTGCACACAGGGATAAATGGAAGCCCCCTCGGTTTGATGGCCTTCCTTTTGCAAGATGCACTACCATCTCGCCTGAAGGCTTCCTGCTGGAAGAAGTTTCCCCAATGCCCCCAGAGCCCACGATGGAAAGTGGGAAACCATTAGGGACATGCCGAGAAAACAGCTCTGGCGTCGTGAACCTCTGGCTGACGACGGCTCACTAGAAGAAGTGAAGGTCACGGGGCAGCTGCCTTTACCACCAAGCATCCAGCAATGCTGAATTCTCACTGCAGATGGATCATTTTGTGCTCACACTGATGGATGATTCAACTGGGTCAACACCTGAGTGCTCTTGTCATTTCTCTCTCTGACCGCTAATCCCTGCACTTGGGTCAGGGGTTAAGTGGCTGAAAGTGGATAATGAGGGTGTATTCAGGCTGCATGGCCCTGGCCCATTAAAGGGATTAATTGCAGAAAATATTGGTTACATTTAGTCTGGTTCTACTTGCAGATCTAGACAATCATCTCGTACAGCATGTTTTGGCTCTAACCTCACACACGCTGCTTACAAGAGGCAATCAGGGAACGTGTGCTTACTAGTAAGCTCCGACACTTCCCTCGTGACTGACAAGACTACTTTAAGTGCTCTCAGGAGAGCCAGGCCCCGTGCATCCAGAGAGTCAGAGAGCCTCTAACAGTGGCACTGACAGAGGGCGGGAGCCATGTCAGCAAAAGCCACCTTGCCATCGAAGGAAATAAGCAGCACCCATGGGAAAAATTCTCTTTCCTCTCCTGTACAATGACCCCATCACCTCATCCTCTGACGTTCCGCACTGGGAGAAGGCAAAGACTTAGAAGCGCATGAGGCAAGATGCCCCAAGTGACTCCGGGCCACACGACCCAGGTGCAAGGCCCAGGTGAGGGTTCCGGGGGGCCTTAGCCCCAGACTCCCCATAACCGTCCCCGCGCTCTGCCTTCAGCCTCAAGGCCGCACGGCGCCCGCCCGCTCGGTGTGCTCTACGGAGCCTGGCAGTCCCTCTGGACTCTCCCGCTCCCGCCACCAGGGGGCCTGCGGCCAGCTCCTACCTGACTGATGGATAAAAGCTGGAAAGAGGGCCAGGGAGACCTGCACGGATTCCTGCAGCGACTGGTAGCAGATCTGCCGGGACTTGGTGGACTCCCCGGAGATATTCTCCACGAGGTCTTCTAAGACACTAAGTGTCTGGTGGATAATCACTTTGGCTGCAAATCGAGATTCAGTGTATGTCAGGACTTGTCTGAGGATAAAGCAGGGTAACGGGGAACACACGAGAAGGGGGGACATTTGCACAGGTATTCAGGGGACTGCTGCAGAAGTCTTGCTAAAGGAACACCGTCTCTCTTGATTGAGTTATCCCTCTCTCTCTCTCCCTATATCCTTTTCTCTCTTTTTTTCCCTTTTTACCGCCAGGACTCCGGTGGCCTGCCTGCTCAGGTTTTTGCCTCTCTTCTGCCTCTATCCACCAGAAACAAGTCCACAGGGAGGGAAAGATAAAAGTGTAGCCTCCGGTTAGGTGACGGATAAAAAATAAGCCTCACAAGGGAACTACCCCAGGCGAGAATGGACACATGCAGATGAGACACGCAGTCAGTTCCAGATAGACGGCTGGCCAGGCAATCCATACCAGCACCCGGCGGCACATCTGCTGCCGCTGTCAGGGCCCAGGGCCTGACAATATGTACGATACTATCCTATGATATTGTGTTATTAACCACATTACTCCTAACCAGACCCCGATGCAAGCTCACATGGTGCCTCCACACAGCGCCCAGAGAAAGCAGAGGCAGGGGCTGGCAAATGGGCGGGAGCTCAGAGGACACGGCAAGGGCCCAGCTCCGAGGAGCCCCGGAGGAACTACAGACGAGCACCAGACGGCTCTACAAGCGGGGCAGGCCCCTTGTCAGGACACCAGGGACAGCCAAGAGCCCCAGCTTTGCAGGGCTGCTGTGAGGACGACAGACAAGGTTGAGAATGTTTCCAGCAAAGTGCCTGGACTATCGGAAGGTTCAGCATAGGGAAGGTACCATCCTTCCCCAACACTGGTGGAGCTGGCTCTCCCCTTAGACACAGAGCTTGCCCCCAGCTGCCCCCAAAAGCCTCCCATGGCGCAGCCTGCACTTGGCAGACTCAGCCCTGGTGGAGCTCCAGGGGCAGAACCAGAGCTGGGCTGAGAACTGGCCTCCACCTGGCCCTCCACGCTCACCAGCCTCTGTGGGAGCAGAAGCAGCTTCCAGGGAAGGGTACGGCAGAAAGAATCGATGCTCCGGAGGTGGATGCAATCAGGTTTGACTCCTGACTCCACTAGATTCTAAGTCTCAGTTCCTCATCTGAAAATGTGGATAGATAGGTAACACCACCTCACTCAAAGGATTTGAAAATAATGGCTCACAACAGGCTGGTCTTCTAATGGCTGGTCACGCGGACACTGGCACATGAGCCAAAGACACGTGCATCATATTGAAGGAACCACTCACATACCACTACCCCAAGCACAGGGACTCTTAACTGAGCCGGGGAATTGCACTTGGGTCAGACGTCTCCCTAAGATACACAAGGCGCAGGGAAAGCAGTTTAGCGGGAAAAGCCAACAGGGGAAAGAGACCAAAATCTGACCTCTGATGTGTAAGGAAATTGAAACAAGAACCAAAATGTATTCACAGAAATGTACAAGGGGAAACTGAAAGCACCACTGAATATGTAATAGGAGAACAGGGATATAAAGTGTGGTACTTCCACTTGATAGATGGTCTGTTACCAGACCATTAAAAACAGTGCTTTCAAGAACAAAGGGGCAATGTGGTGAAGAATCAGGATCTGGAGCCATTCAGACCCAGGCCTGACTCCTGACCCCACCGCCTTCTCTCTGATCCCGAGCAAGCTACACGTGCCAAGCCACGGGGCGGGGGCAGGGGGGGAGATGGCACTTGACAGTGGAGAGACCAGCAGGCCCTGCTGAGGCAGGTGACCACACTGAGCATGCCAGTAACGGGACACACAGAAGCGATGCGACGGAAAACACACAACACGGCCCAGGTGGTATTCCTGCCAAATTGCTGGAAACAATCAGAAGAGCTTCCAGGGCATTTTACGAGAATATGGGTTTGGACTCTTTAAAAACGTCAGTGTCCTGTAAAACAAGAACCAGGAATGCTTTTCTGTATTAAAGGACTGGAAAGATGTGAAAACCAAAGAGAACAGAGGATCCCGGACTATATCTTCCATTTTTAAGAAACAAAAAAGGCCACTCTGGTAGCTCCTGGGAACACTGACTGCGTCTATGTGTTAAATGATGTTACCATTACCAGGTCGCACAACTTGGTTGTGTTTGTGGTGTTTGGGTTATAAGAGAGCATCTTGTTCTCAGAAATAAAGGTTAAGAATTCAGGGATAGGGCTGCTTGGGTGGCTCAGTCATTAGGCGTCAGCCTTTGGCTCAGGTCATGATCCCGGGGTCCTGGGATCAAGCCCCACATCAGGCTCCCTGCTCTGTGGGAGGCTTGCTTCTCCCTCTTCCCCCTCCCCCTGCTTGTGTTCCCTCTCTCGCTGTGTCTCTCTGTGAAATAAATAAATAAAATCTTTAAAAAACAAAATAAAGAATTCAGGGATAAAGTGTGTCAGCAACTTACTTTATTTAAATGGCTCTGTTAAAAACAAAAAGGGGGGGGGCAAGAACACATGTGTAGCAAAATATTAGCAAGTAACCCTACATAAGATATACAGTTGTTCCTTTGCTTAGTCTTCCAACTAAGTGTAGGTTTCAAAATTTGTCAAAGTACTAAGCTGCAATGGGAAAAGCTTTCCAGGCCTTCATGTTATCACTCGGAGAGGAAGACAAACCTCACCGGGCTGCAGGGAAGACTGAATGAACATCTGTATAGGAAGCTCTCAGCCCAGCGCCTGGCAAACAGGGAACACGCCAGATGTTAACTCTGCTGTTAGTCTATTCACTGTGGAAGTGGCTGCTCCCATTCAGCAGATCCCTCCAGCACATGGTGGCTCCAGCACAGGGGGGCACCTGTTCTGCAGGGAAGCTGCGGCCGCAGACCCCTATGCTCTGGCCAGTGAAACTGAGTGGACATCTGAAGGCCAGGTGTCCCCCGCAGACCAGCGCTTCGAGCGCCCCGGCACCATCCTCCCCGCCCCCATCCCAGCGTAAGCACAGACTGCAGGGTGGCCTTCAGCAGCCTGGGGCCTCGAGTGACCAGAATAATAAGCAGGATGTCCCCAACGCCCTTGGCCCCAGCTGAACATGCAGTAGGAGCAAGAAATACATCTTTTCCTGGATTAAGCCACTAAGCTTTTGGGATTGTTTGTTACCACGTAGCCTATGCTGACTGATAATAAGCACGTGTAAGATAAAGGGAGAAAAGACCACTAAACTTTCTAAAAGGTGAGTCCACACTAGCCGTACGTAACCCCTGGGCAAATCAGGTCGTCTGACCCTAGTTTCCTCAGGGACTAAATCAGGATATCTAAAAGCAACTAACGCATAGGCTCACGTGGGAATTAAGTGAATGACTGAACGCAAAACACTGAGAACCAGGACCAGACAAACACCAGACTGTAAAGGGCAGTGCCGGCATGGCCAGAGATGCAGAGACAGAGAGAAGACCCGGGCAGGGGCCCTGCGCACAGGGCGCCCTCCCTAACTCCGCCATTTCTCATGCACCCACAGAACTACAGAAGATCCTGAAACAGAGAAAAAGGAAGACAACAAGATTGCTAAAATGCTTACTTCCTAAAATACTGAAACAAGAGATTTAAGAGTTTTTCCCGTCTTTATACTATTCTAATATTTTTGTACAATGAGCACGTGTTAATGTTCCTGATTATAAAAATAATGTTCTTAACAAGAATGTTGAGTACTTACTGCTATTTCTAACATTTTTTTTAAAGATTTTATTTATTTGACAGAGACAGCAAGAGAGGGAACACAAGCAGGGGGAGCGGGAGAGGAGAAGCAGGCTTCCCGCAGAGCAGGGAGCCTGATGCAGGGCTTGATCCCAGGACCCTGGGATCATGACCTGAGCCAAAGGCAGACACATAACAACTGAGCCACCCAGGCGCCCCTATTTCTAACATTTCACAAAGTGTTTTTGTTGACATTCTATAAACGTCTTCCAATGTTCCAGTATTTTCTTAGTGTTAAAATACTATATTTTTTAAGTATTTCTATAAAATTCGTACTTTCTGGAAGACTTTTCAGAGAAATCTGATGCCTTCTACTTGAACTGAGTTTTCTTGATTCATCTTTTTCCTCCCTTTCGAATATAAACAATCAGACTTGAGGTGTCATTTGTGAAGATACCAAGTTCTTTCAAAGCCTCTGAAACATGTTTTTGGAGGAAGGTTAAAATAGTTTCAAAAGACAGTACTTAAATCCATTTTTCCCAATGTGTAGAGGTGAATTGCTTTGATTGCTTATACAAGTATCTGAAATGGATCAGTTAGTCACTGTGGACTTTTTTATCCATGGAAGGCACCATCAATGGTTTCCTTATTTTAACTAAGAAAAGGGGTGTTCTACATTCAGGAAATAGGTCCAGCTGATGTGTTCACAGAATTCCACAGAGAAGCATGACCCCATCACCCAAGGCTGGTTCTCCCACCCAGCGGCCGTGAGACAACGGACAGGTGAATACTTCATCGGTCACAAAGAAAGACAGAGCCTGCCCTACCTATCTCCCCGGCTGCCCCTGCCTGGGGGACACTTACTGTCATCCAGGGGCATCTTCCTCTGCGGGGCGACAGCATTGGGTTTCAGGTTGCGATAGTCCCGTGAGAGTGCGGAGATGAGGTTGGCATGGTTGATGGAGCGCACAGGCCACTGCTGCTCATTCTCGGGGAGGTTCGGCCATGGAAGCAGCAGGATGTTAGAGAGGGCTCGGCACACCAACACCTGAGCCTGGAAGAGACCCCCACGGGCATCCGTCAGAGGGCGAAGAGCAACACACAAGTGCACATGACATGACCTAGGCACCCCCCCACACACACACACCACCCTCCCACACCCCCCCCCACAAACACCACCCCCCCGACCCCACCCCACCCCCACCTCAGGCCTCCAGGCTCCTTTCTCACAGGCTGGGCCTGGAGCTTTGGTCCAAGTCTAAGGTAATGCAGGAGGGGAGAGAAACTGAAGTCTGGGTCCAGCACACTCCAGGCCCAGCCCTAATAATCTTTCCTGGGGCCACCCCTTCCCTCTACTCAGGTACCAGAAGCATTACAGAGGGAAAGGTCACGGACACCACAGACACTGGCCTTCACACCCTCCAAGGAGCTGCTCAGAACAGGGCTGAGAGCGCGAGGCCGTAAGAGCAGCTCTCTCCCTCAATCCCAGGTGCTCTCCAGTAACTGCTTTGACTGCCCTCTGACACCCTCTCTGTTTTGTTTGTTTTTAACTTCTAGCCTAAGCCTCCTGAAGTTTATGAAGATCCTTGTCTGGATAGAGTGTCTCTATCCGAAGAAAACAAATATAACCACAAAAACAGACTGTTTTAAGCCAAAAAGAACACAAGGGGACTCTGACGACCAGCCAGGTCACCAGCTAAGCAGCAGTGCCCACGTGCCCCCGTGCCCCCAGCAGGAGGTTTTTGCAGCCTAATCAGCACGCTGCGCGGCGGCCACACTGGGAAGGGCCTGATGAGAGAGCGCTGAGGCTGCCCTATGGGCCACATGTGAGGAACCCGTCTCCGTTGGCGTGGCCTCTAAACTCTGAGTGCAACAGAAAGGCCAGCCTCCCCTTCCTCAGCCTCCCTGAGTCTGAGCCACACGGCTCCAGGGCCGACGCAAGGTGGTCCCGGGGTCTCACCTTATCGACAAGTCGCTGAGCAGAGGCATCGGTGATTCTGTTGAACACTTTCTGCACCGCGGGAATGCTGATCAGAAAGACGGGCCGCACGGTGGTGGCCAGGGAGACCAGTAAGTGGCATGCGGACAGCAGCAACTTGTCCTGGACCTGGAGATGGAAGAGAACATGTCAGCTCGCTCGCTCTCCTGGGAGGCTGCCATTAGAAGAACTTTAACAAGGCAGCCACAAGCCAAGTACGGCGCCGGGAGGCATTATACCACCTAGGCTCTGTACCAAAGAAGCTTCCAGGGACGACGCCCAGCAATGAGGGACCCAACTCTGTGCCTCACTGAGGCTCCTGACCTCAAGCCGGAAGCGCCCCCCTCTGGTTCCTCTTGTCCCTAGTCACCGACACGTCTGGACTCTGTCACTCCTCAGCTCTACAATCCCTCGGCAAATTCCTTGGCATACCATTCAAACTACTCGGGATTGTTCATCTCACTCCTCTTTGTTCCAACCAAGTCAGTCTTTCTCTCCACCCGCCTTCCTGCACCCCACCAGTCATGCCAGGTTCTCCTGCTTCCTCCCCTCGGCATGCCAATCAAAACCCTGGTTCGAGGACCATCCGTCCTTTTCAAGTTAGCAAAAGAGAAAACTCTTTATAGATAGGACCTAATGCTGGTAAGACTGGTGAAAAAAAGCACACCAAAGAGTCATGGGCATGCAGAATTATTTTGGAAAGGAAGATTATTAGAATTTCCTAGAACCACAAACTATCCCTAACCTTTAATCCAATCACTTACTCTAAGAAAATCACCCAAAAGGAGGATAAACAGAGGCAACTTTAAAGTCCAGCAATGGCTAGGTAAATTATAAATTATATAAATCCCCCTCATGGGACATTGTAACTCATTTATAACAAACTCAACAAAAATGGACAGAATGCTATGTGTGATTAAAACTACAAAAAGACAAACATCTATATGCCATATAATATAAATTGGTGGTCTTCTCAAAGGACAACTGACTAGAACCTACAAATTTACTTGGATACACCTTTGACCCAGCAAATCCACTTCCCGAAATCCATCCTACAGGGATATACACACCAAGAACTGACTTCCATCAAGAGGAAAATTATAAAACATCCCCACTACAGAATAGCAGTGTTTTGGAGAAGGGGACTAAAGAGTATCACAACTTTTTGGTCTATAAATTTGAAAGGTATTTTACATTTTCACAATGAGCATATATTCATGTGGGACTTGGCTAAAAAAATAAAGTTATGTTTGAATTTATGTGGCCCACAGTTCAAAAGGAACATTTGGAATGACACATGGTTCTCTCACAGCGGTGAGAATTAAGAGTCTAATACCAAGCAAGATTTTGATTCTATAGTAAGTGGGTATAGGAACAGAAGGACAAAGAGTCAGCTACAAAGTACAACGCCTGCTGTTCCAGGACCTTGGTGCTGATCAGAGGTGTGACTGCATCCATGGTGGTGGAGATGAGCGTAACAAACTGCTGTGTGTTCTGTCGATGAGCTTCACTGCAATACTGTGCTAGCCAGTGAGAGTAAGCCTGCAGAGCAGCCAGGGACTGAGCGTGCCTGCGAAGGGGAGAGAAGATGCGACTTTAAAGGTCAAAATATATTAGCAATGAAGGAAGAATTCCACCCAGTGCATTTACTGTTCTAAGACACAGGTGATGGTGCAGAAATCATTTGCTTGCTCAGGTAGGACCTGAAAACGAAAACTCATTGTCTAAACCTTACCACCACTGCCTCTAACACAGGAGACAGTCGGCCCTCTAAGGAGCTGTGGCTCCTTTTGATGGAGAATGCACTTTAGAAACCAAGAGCCTGGGTCCTCAGGGGAGCATTCTTTCTGGGGTCTCACTGCTCCTAGGGCCTTTTAGGCAACAGAGCTAGGATTCAGGCTGACACCACGTGGAAATCAAACTGAGCATCAACTCAGGAGGGCAAACTGACCTCAAGTGCCTCCAGATATGATACAAGAACAACACATTGCCACCTATCTACTGTTCTTACTAAAAATGTTAAACATCAATCTCATACAGTACAAAAACTAGACAAATCCAGATTTTTTAAGATTTTCTTTAAAAAAATAAGGTCTAGGGCGCCTGGGTGGCTCAGTTGGTTAAGCGACTGCCTTCGGCTCAGGTCATGATCCTGGAGTCCCGGGATCGAGTCCCGCATCGGGCTCCCTGCTCGGCAGGGAGTCTGCTTCTCCCTCTGACCCTCCTCCCTCTCATGCTGTCTCTCTTTCTCTCTGTCTCAAATAAATAAATAAAATCTTTAAAAAAAATAAAAAATAAAAAAATAAGGTCTAAATCTCCAAAAATTCAGTTTCTCTTTTCCTCTCCTCCTCTCTTTTCTTCTCTCCCTCTCTCCCCTGCCCCCCACCAACATGTACAATCTGGGGAGCTGGTCTAGATTACAGAAGGTAAATGTAATACATGATTCATGATTAGTTAAGCCTTGGATTAAAAAAAAAAAGATATAAAGGATATTTCTGAGATGACTGGGAAAATCTGAGTATGGAAAATATTTTATACACACATACACACACACACACACACACACACACCCTTAAAAATGCTACATATTGGGGCACCTGGGTGGCTCAGTCAGTTGAGCATCCCAACTCCTGGTTTCGGCTCAGGTCATAGTCTCAGGGTCACGAGATCCAGCCCGGCACAGTGCAGTCTGCTTGAGATTCTCTCCCTCTCCCTCCACTCATGTGTGCTTGCTCTCTATCTCAAATAAATAAATAAAATCTTTTAAAAATTGCTAGATATTACTGTATCCATGAAAGTCTTTGAGTGGTGATAATGGTATTGTGGTTATGTAGGAGGATGACCTTGTTCCTAGAGAAACACGCTGAAGGGTTTATAGGTGAAGTGACATGTTGTCTTCAATTTACTTTCAAACAGTTCACCTAAAAAATTTTTTAAAGTGTGGGTTCACATGTGTATACAAAAAGAAAGCAAAAGAAACAAAAGCCAGTGGGGAAAATATTTATAATTGATGAATCTAGTTTGAGAGTGTAAGGGTGTTCATTCTATTTTTTCCCCTTTTCTACAGGTGGTAACTTTTTCAAGATAAGAAGGTAGGTAAGCAAAGGTATTAAGTACCTTAAAGTAAGAAAGTGCTGGTAATTCATAGTGACCAAGCAGTTATTTTGTATTTTGTATTTAGAATGCATTGATCGTTTTACCCTTCAAGCTTTGAGTACCAAAATTAAGAAAAAGGACATCAAAGTGTGGCTTCAGGGTCTAGGAATTTCAGTCACTCTATCGAATTCACAGAGCTCCGTGAGGCTGAGAAGGGGCTCTGAAACTTCCTGAAATTGTGTGCAAGATGTTATATGTTTATGAGCAAATTAGCATTCTTCTCGGCAGAAGCTTCACAGCTTTCTCTAAATTCTCAAAAAGGAAAGCTATATATACACACGCATACACACACACTCTTAAAAAAAAACCAACCTAAACCACTATAGTAAATAAGACTATCGTTTACCTAATTTGCAGCTCAAGAACTAGCTAGCACAGGGGTCAGCAGACTTTTTCTGCAAATGCCAGGGTGCAAATACTTCAGGCTTTGCAGGCCATACACACTCTCTCCGTCCCAGATACTTGATGCTGCCCCTGCGGCATGAAAGCGGTCACGGGTGGTACGTAAATGAACGGGCGGGCTGTGTTCCAGGAAATCTTCATTTACTAAAGCTGGCAGTGGGCCGGATGTGGGACAGGCCCTAGTCTGCCCACCCCTGCTCTGGTCTAGAGCAAGCCTTCTGGGCAGTGTGATCGCTGGGACATGGCCCCATCTCCACTCCCCATTCCTTTAGCCCTTCCACAGTCACTTTCCTAATGGCTCTCCACTGTCCAAAAAGCTTCTCCAAGTGTGGTCCCTGAATGTCCTTCAAAATCACCCCAGTTCCTGGGTCACACGCAAACACCCGAGGAGCCTCAGGCCATCCTGCTGTAGTCAGAATCTCTGAGGCATTCTCCGTACGCCACAGCTTCAGTCACTGGCCTACAGGATAAGGCTTAGGGCACTCGAGTTGTTCCCACCGTAGTCCTCCCATGCCTTTCTGGCCCCCTCTCCCACCGCACAAACCGCTCACCGCCTCCCTGACTGCGGGACCGTGAGACACATCTGTGTCTCAGTTCCTCCTGCTCTTCCCTCCTGAAATGCCCGCTCCATACATCCTCTGCTCCCAGCTCTCACCCGCCTGATGCGTTCCACTTACTCCAACCCCCCGCCCCCAGGCAATCCTCTCTTCCAGATTTGGAGGAGGGAGTCATTCTCCTCTTCATGGCAACCACCACTGCTCCTTTGTATCTATAAACTGATTTATAAACTAGAGGACTCGGCCTTTCCCGAGAATGCACCAGCAGCCCACTCCGTACTTACACATCGATGAGATCAGGTTTCAGTACTGACGGCACAGCAGTTTCAATGTTGTACAATTTTATCTGAGATCCATACAGAGTGACTTTGACCAACCTGTTGGCAAAGAAATTGGTTAAGAGGAAACACTCAGCTTATGGACTAAAACAGACAAAATGGACAAGGTACCAACAAAGGTCCTGAGGACAGACATGTTTCCATCTAAACAAGAATCAAGACCAGACCTTCAACTTTATCCCAAAGATCTAATCTGAGATGTGCATAAAGATTTATACAAAGATACTAACTAAAGCATGACTTACAGAGCCAAAAAATTTTGAACACAAAATAAATATCTAACAGGTAGAGTATAATATACACCATAAAAGTAGTTAAGATGGAAGTATTTTATGTTGTGTATTTTACAATGAAAAATTTGAGAAAAAGTAAATGTTTCAGATGGATAGCTATATGATAAAGAAAATACAGAAAGTGGTCACTGCAGAATCTAAGTGATGGGTATATATGGGTGTTCGCTCTACAATTTTTCCAACTTTTCTTAAGATTAAAAAATGTTCCTGTTAAAATATCTGAGGAAGGGGCAGGGAATGAAGTAAAAGCTTTTAGAACAAATTGAAGGGTTTTTAACTTCAAGCACAATCCTTTCAGAAGCAAGTTGCTGAGCCCACTGGCTGCCCAAGGGCTCACTGCATACAAACGAGCCTTTAATCCAGTAACTGAGAGCCAGCTCCATGGGGAAATGGAAAACGCCTCTTTCATTAGAGACGGACGTTCCTTTCTGGGCAAAAGGAAGAAGCTGGAAGCCCAGCAAAGTTCTGTCTGTGCCTGCTCTGTAACGAAGCTCTCTAAAGGAGCAGGTCTGAGGCAGACGCCAGGGAAGACAGTGGGCATTCTTCTCCCGCGGTGCCCCAGTGCAGAGCTTCTCAAGCTTCACCGAGCCGAAGAACCCACTGAGGAGCTTGTTACTCAGCAAGCTCCCTGGTCCAACCCCACAGACTGACTGTGCTCGCGAGGAGGAGCCTGGAAATCTGGACCACACTCTGAAAACTGCTCCTCTCTGAAGGGAGCAGAAAGCAGGACTTCCCTAGAAAACCACAAGCTTGCGTCCCAAAGCATGCAGGGTTAGGGAGCAGTCAGAAAATGAGGGTCAAAGAGCCAAGGGCTCTCAAGTGGGAAGTTCTGGAAGGGGCCAGCATGATGACATAAGCGATGCACACACGTGCACCCGGCGTGTAATTCTCTAAACCGCTTTCTGTTCTGTGCCCAGTCAGAGTACACTTCGGCGGCGCTTTACCCTTTCAGCCTATAAAACTCAGTATCTGTACCTGCTGAGGAACAACTCCATCCCCCCAGCCCCAAGCCTGGCCCCGCCACTGCCCTTCCTCTCAGGCTCTGACGAGTCTCTGCACCTCCTGTGAGTAGAATCACACCGTGTTCGACTTCACGTCTACAGCAGCCTTTAGTGCTGTTCCGCACTAAAAATGGACTGCTAAATGGGTCTTTTACCATTTCTACATTTAGCACTTTCACTAGTAGGCTTGTTGTGTGTAACCTCTAAGTGAAAAGCCAGCTCATCACACTGACTATGAAGATCACGTAGCCATAACAAAGAGCCTTCTCTCATACTTTATTCTAAAGGAAGACAAAATAGCAAAGTATCTTTAAGTACTGGGCCTGCAAACCCAAGCAGTGCAGAAAGATGTACATATAAGGACCTAGGAAATACCGATGCAGGGACTCTGAAGTCTGAAAAAATATGGATTTCAGACAGGAAGAAACCATCAGCGGCAACAGGCCCCGCCAGGAAGAAGAGGAAGAAGGACGCTGGAGGCAGAAGCTCTGTGGTCCGGAAAGAGCACAGCAGGTAGACTCAGGAAACTGGTTACAATCCACGTGTTCCCTCTTGTGAATAGTGTGACCTGAAGCAAGGCACTCACCACCTCTGGCCCACAGTTTGCTCACAGATAACATGACCATCCCGTCCCTCAAAGTAAAGCATGAAATAAAATGTGCAAAACCACTTTTGAAAATTTCCTACTACCACATGCTTTTATTATTATTATTAATCTGGCTTTTAAAGATTTACTCGAAAACTCAGTTATCTCTGCTTTTAAGCTAAGAGTAACAGTTAAAAAAAAACTTTGGTGTGCAAGTCACTAGGCTTGGGGCTTGGTTTCGCTGTGTGTTACCAATGATTTGGCTACTGGGCCAGTGAAAGAGTCCGGTGTCCCAACTTCGGGCTGGACCCACATCCACCCAGTTTTGATCTAATCAATCCACCAATTACCTTTAAACAATCTGAACCTCCTATTATATTTGAAGCATCTTTTTTTTTTAATTTCTTATTTAAATTCAATTTAGTTAACATACAGTATATCATTAGTTTCAGGGGTAGAATTAAGTGATTTATCAGTTGCATGTAACACCCAGTGCTCACTACATCAAGTGCCCTCCTTATTGTCCATCAGCCAGTTACCCAATCCTTCCACCCACCTTCCCTCCAACAACCCTTAGTTTGTTTCCTAGAGTTAAGTCTCTTATGGGGGGCGCCTGGGTGGCTCAGTTGTTAAGCGTCTGCCTTCGGCTCAGGTCATGATCCCAGGGTCCTGGGATCAAGCCCCGCATCGGGCTCCCTGGTCTACAGGAAGCCTGCTTCTCCCTCTCCCACTCCCCCTGCTTGTGTTCCCTCTCTTGCTGTGTCTCCCTCTGTCAAATAAATAAAATCTTTAAAAAAAAAAAGGAGAGTCTCTTATGGTTTGCCTCCCTCTCCGTTTTCATCTTATTTTTCCTTCCCTTGCCTTATGTTCATCAGTTTTGTTTCCTAAATTCCACATAAGTGAGATCATACATTGTCTTTCTCTGACTTATTTCACTTAGCATAATACTCTAATTCTATCCACATCATTGAAAATGGCAAGATTTCATTCTTTTTGACGGCTAATATTCCTGTGTGTGTGTGTGTCACATCTTCTTTATCCATTCATCTGCCAAGCATCTGACTTTTTAAGCATACGAGTTCCTGAGAGGGGAGCAGGGAGGCCTGGGTAGTGGGAAGTGGTCCGTAACAAATACAGCTATAAACCCGAGGAGGGCCCCAAGGGGAGGGGTAAGGAATGAAGGCTGCTGGTGGAGAGGCTGGGAACCACTTCTCGGGTCAGCGTTAACTCCTCAGGACCTTAACAGGACTGGGAAAAGTCCCACCTCTGGCATCTAGCTGCCTACTTGGAAGAGGCCAACTGACTGTGTCTGTCCTTCGACTACCAGGCCTTTCCGACTGTCTCTTTACCCTGTGGGCAGAGACGTACGACTGACCTCACCTGGTTTCTTCTGAGGCAAGTCCTGTCTTTTTGTCTACAGACCCGATCTTCGACGAAGTAACAGCTCACATGTGTTGTCTGCTACGTGCCAGGCACTGTGCTAAGTGCTTCCTCTCATTAATTCTCACAAAAAGCTACAAGACACCAGGTCCCCTCCATGTTACAGACAACAGACCTGAAGTTCGCAGAGGTTACGTGGCTGCTCCATATGCACCTTGAGCCTGGCAACATGCCGCCCGCACACAAGAAGGAATGACTGGGCTCTGAGGGAGGAAGGGCGCCACGACGGGAACGCCGCCTACCTCTCCACGACCGTGAGGGCGTCGCTGAACCGCGCTGCAAACACGTCTCCGATGAAGTACTCAGCCAGCCGGCCCACAGCCTGCAGGAGGGAGCTCAGGTCTCTCAGGGAGCAGTGCAGTCGCCGGCAGTCGTTCTCCGCAGTGATGTTCAGCCTGTGTCCTGAAACAGAACACCGCCAACGGTTTCCCACGGGCAGAAGGTGCCATAGGTACCACACCGGCAACAGCTCATCCAGGCAAGCTAACCAACTGCCGAGGGGCGCCTGGGTGGTGCAGTCGGGTTAAGCACTGGACTCTTGATTTCAGCTCAGGTCATGATCTCGGGGTCATCAGGCTCCGCGTTCGGCAGGGAGTCTGCTTGAGATTCTCTTTCTCCCTCTCCCTCTGTTGCTCCCCCCACCGCACGTGTGCAAACTCGCACACACTCTCTCTCTCTCTAAAATAAATCAATCTTAAAAACAAAAACAATGTGAAACACAGCAACCCACAGGCTGCTTCCCAGTAACAAGCCAGGATAGCAGGGCCTGTCTCCACCCAAACCTCGGGCCAGAGTGTGTGAACACAGACAGAGCACCTGATGTGATTCCTCTTGACCCAGAGGTAGTGACACCACCAATTTTACACCCAAGGAAACACACGCAGGGCAGCCCAGTCACTTGCCCAATGTGGGTCATATTTCTGGGGCAGAACTGGTGTCCCAGGTTAAGCCTCTACAACTGCAAACCTGCTTGCTTTCTACACATGGCCCTGTCACAGAATGAAATCTCCACGGGCCGACAGGCAGGATTCACCTCTCTTCAAAGAACAGGGTGTGGTCAGCACTCCACACCCCAGAAGGTCCCAAGTAGAGTCTGGAATAAAGGCACAGGGCCTGGATTCAGAAGACACACGTGCCCTGTCGCCGCTGGCTCTGGGCCTCAGCCAGCCCTTCTGAGTCTCAGGTCCTTATCTTTAAAATGGAAAATAATGCTCCCCATCGAATTCACTAGTTTAAGGGCAGTTAGAATGCATACGAAACCCTGTAAACTATAAAGCATCATTCAGTGCTTGTAATAATGATATATAACAAAGAGCGTGTGATTTTCTAAGGCCTGAAGCTTTCTTTTCAATATAATTTCTTCATGCTGAGTGATGAGGATGCAAAGGTGAAGGACAAAAACATCTGCAATTTAGCCACCTCCTTGCCCTGTGGACCCCTCTTCACAAAGGTCCACAAAAGAAAGTGAGAACCGCTGGGCCGAGAGAGCTCGCTCTGCGTCTATAAAGTCCTCCGCCCTCACCCAGTCGGAGGGAGGGAGACCCCAACCCCTGCCTGCGGGGCACCTGCAATACCACCAGCCCCCTCCCACTGCCACCTCAGGAGTTTCCTCTCTGTTAGGAGACAAGAACTGGCTAAAGGCAACCCTCCTCCCGCGGCATTCCACAAGCATCTTCCTAGAACCCGGACCTAAGCACACAGCTCCCCTTAAGCAAGGTGCCAAACCTCCTGGGGCTCTCTCCTGGCTCCATGGGAGAACCTGAACCCCCCAGCATCCACTCCAGGGCTTTCGTGACCTCACTGCCTCCTGCCATTCCCATTTCTCACCTGGACCCACCGGGAACCCCCGGGGCCTCAGGTCCCTGCCTGGACTGCCCACGGCATCCCTTGCACACTCTTACACAGTCTCCAGACTCACACAAGTCCCCTTCCGGGAGGCCTGCCCTCTGCACTGCCCAAAAGAAGGAACGCACTTCCCTCCCTTCCTGCATTCCCCTCCAGGGCACCTCATGCACATGGCAGATCAACTAAGGATCTACAAGTCTCCTCACCGACTAGGAACTTCCTCACAGGGAGGGGCTGTGGCTGGTATCCAGCATGGCGCCAGGTACAGAACAGGTGGCCACAATGAATGACTGAACTAAATACAACAGAACACAGAGCCAACGAGAGCAGGACCGGGAGTCTCGGGTGCTTAAGTTCCTCATATGGCCTCTGGGAATGTTCCCTTGATTATTTAAAGGTGACTACGGATAAGCAACACCTGTGGAGGTGCAAACAGCAAGGCTGAACACCTAAGAAGGTGCTGGGAAGTAGCAAGTTTAATGCCTCAGATCCTTCACTGACTTCTGAGTGATGAGGCTCAGAACAGAGCCGGTGACAGCCCCCAAGGGTGGAAAGGAGTCTGGAAAAGGGTGTGGGTCACATTCCGGGGAGCGAGAGGACAAAAGGAAGGGGAGACTCCAGGAAGGACCTTTCAGGGACAGAGCCAGTGACAAAGGCCGGCTTTCGCCTACCCCCCAAATCGCCTGTCCCTCCGGAGACTCACCACCCTGTGCAGGAAGCAGTGCCTCGATGCAATAAACACCAAGTGGGATTCTCAGCCTGTAGGCAGCCCTGCCCAGGCCATGGGGGTGGGCGCCAAAGAGAGCGAGCCAGCTTCCCCCAGCAGAACAAGACCACCCCACACTGCCAGCCACACGAGCCCACGGAACAGACAGAACCAGGAGGTATTTTTGGTCATGTGGAGAGAACACTGCCTCTCCTCCTCTCGCAGCTAACAAAAGCACCACAAATACGCACCTTCTGAACGTCAAGGATTTTCAGGGTTACAGCTACGTAACGGACTCCCAGGGTAAATTGAGACCTGTTGTTCCTTTGCACACCAACCAAGCTTTAGGGCTGTGGGAATAAAGCCTTAAGAAAACTCTGCCCGGGAATCGGGTGTGGTGGTAGTATAGGCCGAAAAGAGAGGAGGCCAGCGTTTATTCCCCAGGGCAGCACGGCCAAGGCTCCGACTCTGCACTCTCCTGCGCACCATACCTCCACCTTCATGGCCCTCACCCTCACCCATGAGGCTCCACCCTGCCCACTGCTTCTCAACTTATTCACGTACTTAACCCTACAACTAGGTACCCTTGTTTACCTAAGAACTAGATGCTTGAATAGTGTTTAAACATGAAGGGAAACATTTTGTGTTTCCCTTTTTAAAACCAAACGAAAATACCACCCTAAATTGGGTTTCCATTGGAGTACGGTTCCTAACAGTCATTAAGTCATCCCGAGCAGGCCTGCCCCCACTGCCCCCCGCCGCCAGCCCGTGCCCCTGAATCCACACAAATACACCTGAGGCAGGGCCTCCTCCCAGCACTGCCCCTTCGGCCTCTTCCCCGATGTGTCTCCAGGGAGTCTTCCATCTTTAAACAATGAGGGGAAAAAGTGTCCCCCCCAATTCCTTATGATCATCCCTGGTCCCACCCCCTGAGGGGAGAACACAAAACAAGCCTAAGCCTGCTGACACACAGCAGTCTTGGGGAGAGGTGAAGAAGCTTCTCCTCTTGGCTGAAATACACCCCTGGGTCCCTTCATTTCCCATGTCACCCTCCTGCTGAGAATCCTTGCCATCCTGATTGTTCCCCTCTAACCCGCCCGAATTTGTCAAAGAGCAGTACTTAGAATAAAAAACAGCTTGGGACTGCTGTGATTTTAAACTATTAGTTTGAGCCATAAGAAATTGCTGATATTGGACCATTTCTGACCAACCAAAACTGCAATTCCATATAATTCAACTGAATACACATGTGCCATGTAAGGTTCACATTAGTGCAAACTGCTGTTTTTTTCCTTCCCGCTCTGCCTGCAAGGCAGGAAGTACCCCAAATCAAAGTCGCTGCCCCCACCCCCAGACCTAGAACCCTCCTCGTACCACCAGCAGCACAAAATGCGGCAAGCAGCCACCTCAACTCGAGGGGCAGGCCTCAGCTCCCACCGAGAAAGCCGCTGCAAACCACCCACATCTTCTTTGGCTAAGGCCTGGATGTCCCCCTAATAGCAAAGAACAGCTGCGAAGGGGAACCCTCCAAAGGGAATTACTGCTGAGAGGTTTCGAGAGAGAAAAGACCATGGCCACACTGAAGTCCTCTCGCACATAAAGCAAGTCACCCTGAGGCTGTCGAGATGCACTCCTGACCACGTCCAAAGGACAGCTGCCTGGCAAGTCACACCTTCATGTTAACTATACTCCGTCTTCTCTTTGTTGGGGGCCTGGGGAGGCAAGGGTGATGACACTTGAGGGACACCACTCTGAGAGAACAAGTAGGTCGTAAATAAACCCCAGCGGAACAAAGAATCTAAGAGATGCAGCAACCGAAGACAGGATTTCTCAACCCACAACTGGTGAGGAGGAGCAACGAGGGGAGCCAAGGGGGACCCCCCGGGGCTGGGAGAGAGGCGCACAGCCACCGTGGCACCGCAGGCAACAACATGTCTCGCCTCGGACCTAATCACAGGCGTAGGGGCAGAAGGCCAGCAACAGTCAACAGGAAGACTCCCATCGGCACAGGCCCCAGAGGAAACAGAAGAAGTAAAGGCTGGTGAGAAGTGGTGCACACGAGTGGCAGGGCCACCCTGTCAGAGGAAGACACCCCGGTTTCTGTTAAGAGGCAGCAAGGCTGCTGACCCAGCACGGAGGTTACCGGAGAGGGTGAATGGCCATGGGAACCAGGGAACAAAATGTATTCAGAGTTTCCATTTGTTTTAAAGGCCTTGCATTGGAAACTTGGCTTCGGAGCCACCAAGGGATGGGGGAATGCTTCGTCATGGATAAGAGAGCTTGTTTTAAAATGGGAAGTATTTCTTTGGCCTGAGAGGTTTTGCCCCTAGAGTATGCACCAAGGATCAGCACTAGGGATGAGATTTATAAACAATCCGGAGAAGCCAAGCACACTGTGAAATTGTCAGCAAATGGCTTTCAATGAGAACAGGTATATGATATTTCATGTAGGGAAAAATAAAACAGATTATCCTTCTCGGATTATGTCTCAGAAAAAGGACTTAAAAATCACTCAGATTTTCACCCAAAGACAGACTCAATGTAACGTCAAGAAGGCAGCGACAACCCCGAAAAGGAACGTGGGGTCAATGCAGGGAAGTGTGGGGGAGGGAGTGCCTGCTCAACTTTTTTAAAGATCAAGAATAATGTCTTGAGGATGCCAAGTACATTCTAATTTGATGAGTGGCCCTGAGGGAGAGACCACCAGGGCACAATTTTTCCCCAAGAATGGCTGCTAGAAACATCTGTCGCACTGGTACACAAATGACTTTCGTTAATGGTGACAGCACATTTTACAGGCATGTTTGCTTTGAAAAGTGGTCTTTTTAAAGTTCTTTGTAAGTTGTTCTTAGCCTATCTACAAACTTTGGGGCATGCCAAGTCCCATCAACCTCCTGGGGCCCAGCGGATTATTTAGAAGCTAATAGAGTCATGGAAACAAACCGTCACAGGCCACTAAGAAGGGCAGCCTCAGAAAGAGCCTCTCGTGAAGGCTCTGCCATGAATAACAAGCTCGTCCAGGAGATGGTCTCTACCCCGGGCAGTTCTGTGCCAGTCTGAGACAACAGTTACACAGCAGAGGGACTGGAGGCCAGGCCGGGCACAATGCCCAGAGGGGAAAGACGGTGAAGAAGAGCAGTGTGAAACGACCACCAGAGATGGGAGGGACTGGGAGGCGAGGGTGAGCACAGGTGCATCTGCAAGCGCAATGGTAAGTTTCTGGTGTTTTTGCTAGCAAAATGGACGTCAGATTTGATTTAATTCAACTTCTTAATCATCCCCTGTTATATCATATTGGGACAAATAAACATCTCTGGACATCAATTTCCCCTTCCGTGAAACAGGAGCAACTGGTATTAGTCCTCCCAGCTCCAGGACAGGTGAGAGAGTTAAGGAGCAAGTAGGCAAATACTACAGTGCCGAGCAGGTAATGCGCATTCGACAAACAGAAGCTATTATTGTTATCAACAAAATAACCCCAAAATGCCGAGCCGAAACCCCAAGGAGGCGAAGCCTACAAAGGACCGCCCAGCTGTGGCCACGCCGCCCGCAGGCCATCGACAAGAGGAAAGCTAACGATCGCTAGCTGTCAGCGTGCTCCACACGAGTCCGCCTGCGCCGGAGCCACTCCTGTGTCCTGCTTCCAAACACCAGGCAACAAAGAGCACATGGCAGGGGAGCCCAAGGCCATTTCTCCTTAGCGTACTTGCTGGTCGAAAAGACCTAAGGAAATATTCTAAGTGCTGGGGGTTTTTTGAAAGTCCTCCCTCTTTACTCCAAATTAGCTGCCTCTCTCTCTCTCTCTCTCTCTCTGAAACAGCTCTTGGGAACGCACTGTCAGAGTCCCATCTTTTACCTCCCCCACAGCTTCTTTTTATCATGATTCTTTAGGAAAGTTTTCCCTGTGTAGAAGTGGGGAGAGATAGAGCCATGGGAAGGTGGCAGTGGAGAAATCATGTTCCGACAGCAAAGACGGCAATAATTAAGTATCAGCCCGATATTTTTCTTAATGTTGATTAAATTAGAAAATAAAAACCAGTTTACCTGACCCTGAAGTAACTATAAACTGCTGTAACCCCAGATAAACTTCTAAATTGTCCTGAAGAACTGGGAACTGAAAACAAAGAAACAAAGATTAAAAAAAACCAAACAAACATAAATGCAAATTTTAACAGCATTTTAACATTAAAACATTATAAGTATCTATGGGGGGGGCAGGCATCAGATAAAAGAAACTTTTCTCTGGGAACCTTTACAGGCAGCTAAGCAGAAGCGTCTCGATTCAGTGCCCTGCCCCCTCAGCAATTTCTCCAATTCACACCACCAATTAACGTTTGGAATAAGAAAGAAAACAACATTATCAGTTTGATACTCTTTTTCTAAACAAAGCAGTGGATGCTGGGTAGGACTATAATGACTGTCATGTTCCTAAAAGAGGGGACATCAAACCCCAAATGCTCTATACCTTCTAGAGCTTGGAGACAGGGCCTATCTATCTCCCTTCAATTCCAAGGGAAACTCTAGTCTGGAAAGAACTACCAGATATGCCTTATTCAAGTGCATAGCAAAATGAAAAGACAGGCCAAATTTTTTGGAAGTCAGATTCCCTTACTCATTTAGCAGACAGGACCTTCATAACCAAAGCTGTATCTTTTCTCTCTAAAGCTGCTCACTCACCATTAAGATATAGATCAGACTTTAATATGACAGGTCCCTATGAAAGACAGCTGACAAAACACAACAGCACTTTCTACAAGAGAACACAAGCCCCCGAAATCATCGTGCCCTTCCTTGAAGAAGAGGTAGGCTTAGTGAAATCTCCTCAAATAACAAGCACCACTTCGTGAATGAAAGCAGTCCTTACGCCTAAGATTCTAGCACATAAATATAGGCAGAGTGCTAGCGATGAGCTTTACAACGGCTCGCTTTCCAGCAATGTAATCTTTATAAGTCCTCTACGTGGCCTGGCCATTTTTGAGCTACTGATGCAGGCATGAAGGAAGGCATTAGGAAAATTCATATTACATCCAAGAGTTCAGGAAAGAAAAACAGCACTTCCAAAAGTTGATTTAAAATATGTGGGGGAAAAGTTAACATTTGTTAAACTTGAGGTTTGGTTATGGTAATTATTATTCTCTTTAAAAAGAAATAAATAAAATAAAATATATATATGTACATATACACACGCACATACATATATATATATTTTAAATATCGGTGAGCAAAGCAGCTTACTACCCATGCTACATGTGCAGGGAAAACACTAGGCTCTTCATTCCCCTCCAAGAGGCGAGTTACCAGTGTTGAGAAGGCGTGTGTGGGAAGGAGCTCCATCACCTTGGCCACCACCTCCAAGCTCTGGCGCAAGTATCGCTGCCACTCTGTCTGCTGCTGCAGGGGAAACAGAAGGATCAGCTCTCCCAGAAAGGCAGAGTCTTGACATCTCCCCTGCCCCTTCATCCGCAACCTCAAGTCCACTCTTAGACAGAAGGTCTTGAAGAAATGGCAAATGATCAAACCAGGTTACTTAGTACTTGAAAAAGATCAACCTAGAGTATTTTTTAATCCAATGAATTAACTTCATAAAAAGTTATTTCCTCAGAAAGCACATGATCCACAGAGAATGACCTACTTTTCTCCTACGGTCACAGGAATACAGATTTCAAAAAGCCACTTGTGAAGTGTTCAAGTCCCCTTTATGACATCCTAGCTATAGGAAGTGGCTACTCATTCATTACCTTCTGAGACAGTCCATGACTACCTTCCTTTCAGTATAATGGACTACATCAGTGCCACTCAAAGTATGGTCCACAGACAAGACAGCACCAGCATCTCCTGCAGGTCTGTAGGTAATGCAAATTCTGTGGCCCCACCCCCAAATCAAAGTCTGTTTAACAAGCTGTCCCAGTGATTCTCACCCGTGCTCAAATATGAGAAGCACTGTACTAAATCATACAGTTAACAAGAAGTTGAAGCTCAAGTTTACCAAGCACACACAATGTGCCAGGCATGTAGCCAGTCCTTCCACAAGCGACCCTCATGTAACTGTCAGCACAGGCCAGTCAGACACATCGCTCCCCTTTCGTGAGAGGAGAAAATTAAGGCTCAGAGAAATTGAAGGCCCAGACTTCTATCTCCTTCGGGTCCAAGGCCTTTGGGTTCCAAGTACAAGGCTCTTTCTAACCCAAACATAGCCACCCCTCAAGATCTTAACCATGCCACCGTCACTGTTATTTTGAAAGCCATACCAGTGACCTGAAAATTCTAAAGTGCATGGTGATTAAGAAAAAGGAACATGGGAATTGTGTCCTTCAACACATTTTCTTTATCCATGATGGGCACACCAGCATCAATAAATTCAGGATTGATTTTAAGATACTGATTTACAACATACACTCAAAAGAGTCTTCCTTTCGTTCTAGGCTTACCAGTTAAGTCATGCTTTATTTCCACCTGCATCCAGCCAGCTTTTTGTTTGTCACCCAGGATGGGGAGCGGAGGTGTGGGTACGAGGCAGAGGAACGAGAGGAGTACAGAGCCCTTACTAAACCTCTTCTCACTGTGCATATGGTTTCTCTGCTCATATCTCTAGTCCATACAGATAAAAATGCCTGTCAACTTCCTTTTACAATTAACGAACCCACAAAGACAAATAGGATATACAGCTGACCTTTAAACAATAGGGGTTTGAACTGCGCAGGTCCACTTATATGGGATTTTTTTTCAATAAACAGTACAGTACTGGAAATTTATTTTCTCTTATGATTTTTTTTTTTTAAAGATTTTATTTATTTGAGAGAGAGAGAATGAGAGAGAGAGCATGAGTGGGGGAGGGTCAGAGGGAGAAGCAGACTCCCTGCCGAGCAGGGAGCCCGATGCGGAACTCGATCCAGGAACTCCAGGATCATGACCTGAGCCGAAGGCAGTTGCTTAACCAACGGAGCCACCTAGGCGCCCTCTCTTATGATTTTCTTAATAACATTTTCTTTTGTCTAGCTTACTTTATTGTAAGAATACAGTATATAATACATATTACAAAATATGTGTTAATTGACCATTTGTTGATAAGACTTCCAGTGAAGTTTTGGGGGAGTCAAAAGTTATACTCAGATTTTTGACTATGCAGGTGGTCAGCGCCTCTAAGCCCTGCACTGTTCAAGGTCAGCTGTAAAGTTCAAATGCACAACTCAAACTGTGAGATTACTCTGGCTCCAGAGCAGAGCTTACAGATTCCCAGTCTCCATCTGGACTCACACCAAAAACGACAATGACTAAGGTCGATTAGGACACGCCACTTACATCGTCATCCAGAGTCTCGTCATCCAGCTCCTCCAACTGGGCTTGGTTGTATCTGAACTGGATTCGATTCAACACCTCCGTGAGCAAAAGGACTAGAGCGTCTTCGTACCTACATGGCAGGGAGAAATTCAACATCAGGTGACAGGAGGCTTTTAGTCTTGAAAAGTCCTCCTGAACTATGAGAAAGAACGGCGTCCCTGCTGGATTACCACATACAAGCAGCACGTGAACTAGATTTAGTTTGTGGGTTGAAAGAGCGTGTGCAGGGTGGAATGGTAGCAGGGGTATTTCTTCATTTCACCATGTTCCAGGCACCTTCTTGATGGACGGATGGATCCATCTGGACTGAGGGACTGAAGGATCATTAGATCATTAGATGATGTCCTTCTCTGTAAAGTAGGCTCCACACTGGGCCTCTCACGACCCTGAAATCAAGACCTGAGCTGAGATCAAGAGTCGGACACTTAACCGACTGAGCCACCTGGGCACCCCACCCCCACCCCCAGCAGCCACTCTCATCTTTAAGTCTATTCTGCCTGATATTAGCATAGCTACCCCAAATCTCTTTTGTTTACTGTCTGCATGGAACAGCTTTTACTTTCAACCTATTTGTGTCTCTGAAACTGAAGTGAGTCTCTTACAGACAACATGTAGTTGGATCATGTTTTTTTAATCCATTCTGCCAATCACTGCTTTTTAAACCAGAGAGGTTAATTCTTCACATTTGATGTCATTACTGCTAAGGAAGGACTTCTGCCACTGTGCTACTTCTTTCCTCTAGGTCATGGCTTTCGTTCAGTTCCTCCATGACCACCTCCTTTTGTGTACAGACATTTCCTAGGGTGCCATTTTCATTCCCTTGTCATTCCTTTCACCACGCATTTGTTCTATAGTTGGCCCTGGGGATTACAGGTAATTATATATAAATATCAATTTATACTGATTCAATATATGATTCAATAATTCAATCCTTTTAACATCTGTGAGAGGTAGATGGTATTACTGGTGTTTTTCCGACGAGGCAACCACAGTTAAAAGAAGTTAAATAAAATGCCCAAGGTCACCAAGCTAGGTGATTTGAGCCCGGCTTCCATAACTCAACATCCCATGCTCTCTGCGTAAACCACCAATGGTCTTTGAGCCTGCTCTGCCCACTCCCCAAAACCTTACCTTCAGTCAATTTTTAAGAACACTTAAACACCTAAAGGAATAAATGGAAAAAGCTTGGGGAAACCCTGCCCCTTTGACCTATATCTAAGAACTTCTGGAAGAAAACACTGAAAGCCCCAGGTCTGGGTATCCCCCACACATGGGAAGAACCTACTTCAGAAGACACCTGAAGAAGTTCAGAAGAAGTTACCTGCAGCAGTTGTACCACAAGGGCCACTAATTTTCAAGAACAAACCAGCTGCCTAAACGTCTGTCTGTCCTGAAGCATTTCTAAGATAGGTTCAAGAACTACTCCCCCTCATAAAGCTGAGCACCCATGCCAGGCCCTCAGCACCGGTCTACGCCGTCCTCCGGGCTGCTGGAGCTGCGAGTGCACAAAGCACCCCTGTCCTCCGCCTGGAGCTTCTGCAGCAGGCGCACCGCAGGGAGACCGAGCGACAGAAGGGGCACAGGGACACCATTGTTCCTGTGGGCTCACCATCCTGGCAGTGTCGCCCAGCCAACACTCACCTGGAAGCAATACATGGGTCCACTTTCAGCTTCCCCATGCCTAGACCCCGCCTCAGGCACTCTCAGAGGTGCCAGCAGCAGCCAGCCTGCATCCCCTCCTCTACGCTGTGAGTACCAGCTCCACCGGGCCCTCCTCTGAGCTCCCAGGGCAACTGCGCACCACCCCCGCCTCAGAGACCTGCGCTCCAGGGGCATGGGGTCCAGCCCTCTGATCTAGACTTTAATAACTCCACCTCTTCCCTTTGTACCCTCAGCCCTAGGGGTGGGGCTCTTCTTGTAGTTCTCATCTGCTTTATGTCGCTGCTTCCTTCTTGCTCTTCCAATCCTCCGGCGCCAGTTTCACCAATTTCCTACACTGAATTCTTAAAATAATTAAGTCTGGTTTCCATCTTCCTGACAGGACTCTACCTCATAAACCATCTAATCCAATGCAGGTGAGTCCTGGGACAAGCTAACCATAGCTAAAAGGTATCCAATGCCAAGATCAAATACAGTCTACCTAGTCTAAGTTACGACCTCTGTAATGAGACTCTGTACAGACAGTCTAAAGGCTTCATTAGCATTCTCCTGAAATGTCAAATTGCAGAGTTTGGTGGGCACAAGAGCTCATTTTTCCACTAAGACAGAAACACTGACCACCCCTCCCCACAGTGTTTGCAAATGATTTAACCTAGGCCAGATGGGCAACTGAGCATGGCCCAGAAACAAATGCTGGCGGCGAAAATCACTAATAAAATATGCAGCATCTGTGGCAAAAATTGCCAATAGCCTCAAAATTCCATTTCAGTGGACTTCAGAGGAAAAGGTAAGATCAAACACATAAGTCTGGAGCTTGTATTTGCCATTTGCTCAGACAGAAATTCCTAAAGTTAGTTACAGAAGTTCTATGCTATAAATTGCTATGATGGACCAACATATCTTCACAATTTTGCTAGGAAAGAAAATCCACTTCAGACCAGAGGGCAGAAGAAACCTGTCATCTACAAATTGTCTTGCTGAACTAAAAGGGAATTTAGAGATTTTGTATGCATAGGCTAACCCTAAATTAGACCTAAAACCCTACTGGCAGTCAGCAACTCTGGCTGCAAAAAAAAAGCTTATCTAAGCATAGAAAATTAAACCCAATTAGAAACCAGGCTAAAGCACACTTAGGTAGTAATTGCTCCCCCAAAGTATTTGATGAAGGTGGGGAGAGTATATGGGTGTGGCAGACTCTGGCTGCCTACCCAATACCCATTCTTCCTTTCTCCCTCAGTTAGACAACTGGGCACTGAGGTCAACTGGAAGACTACATTTCCCAGCCTCCCTTGCAGATGGCAGTGGTTGAGGACATATTAAGAAAAGTCATTAGGTAGGGGCGCCTGGGTGGCTCAGTTGGTTGAGCAACTGCCTTCGGCTCAGGTCATGATCCCGGAGTCCTGGGATCGAGTCCCACATCGGGCTGCCAGCTCAGCGGGGAGCCTGCTTCTCCCTCTGACCCTCTCCCCTCTCATGCTGTTTCTCTCTCTCTCTCTCTCAAATAAAGTCTTAAAAAAAAAATTTTTTTTAAATTAAAATTAAAATTAAAAAAAAAAAAAAGAAAAGTCATTAGGCAGAGCCTCTGGAAAAGCATCTTTTGTCCAACCTCTCCCCTTCTCATTCCTGCTATCTGAATCGTGGTGTGATGTCTGTAAATGCAGCATCCATCTCTGACCACAAGGTGACTGTGGAGATGGAAGCCATGCCTGAGGCAGGTAAAAGGATCCAGAATATGAGTAAACATACAAAGAATGAGGAGGCACTGACCATTTATCAAGGGAAAGACAAACAAGAGAAGCCGACCTAGAGATGACAACACACTGGAATTACCAAAGACTTTTAAGGCAACTATTATAACCATCTTCCATAAGGTTTTGCAGATAGAAGATGCTAGGGACTGAATTGGGTCCACTCAAAATTCTTATGCTGAAGCCCTAACCCCCATGTAACTATATTTGGAGATAAGGCCTATAAAATGGCCAGTGGTATTTTGTTATGGCAGCCTGAGCTGATTAACGCAGTAGGTAAATGATCATGAGAAAGAAACCTGGCATTTCAAGAATGAAGGACAAAAGAAAGAAAATTGCCAAGTGTCTGGGTAAATACCATTTCTCTAGTATTTTCCAGTCTGCTTCTCTCCTCTTAAGATCTTTAAAATAGGGGTGCCTGGGTGGCTCAGTCAGTTAAGTGTCTGCCTTCGGCTCAGGTCATGATCCCGGGGTCCTGGGATCAAGCCCTGCATCAGGCTCCCTGCTCGGCAGGAAGCCTGCTTCTCCCTCTCCCACTCCCCCTGCTTGTGTTCCCTCTCTCGCTGTGTCTCTCTCTGTCAAATAAATAAATAAAATCTTAAAAAAAAAAAATCTTTAAAATATTAATGATGGATGAAAGCAAAATAAAACATTGTCTGATGGGGTTTTCCATGGATACAGATGTAAAATATGGCAACCTCAATACAAAGAAGGGAGGGGAAAGGATCTATGTGGTGGTAAGGTTTCTACTTATACTTGAAGTGGTGAAATGTTAATGTGAAAAGCAAATACACTGTAATACCAGAGCAAGCTCTAAAAAACTCAGAGATATCATCAAACAATAAATATATTGAAAAGGGAAACTAAATTTGTGTGAAACTAACAACAGAGTCTCAAAATAAATGAAGCAAAAATGATAGGGCTGAAAGGAGACCCACAAATATACACAAAGAGCTCGCCTCTGTCCCACAGACAGAACATGACAGAGGACACACAGAATGTCACCGCCAACCTGACCTAACCGACATCTATAGAACACCCCATCAGAATAATCACCAAGAAGACTAAGTCATTAAACAAACCTCAGGAAATTGAAAAGAACTGAAATCACACAAACTATGTCTGCAGATCATAGTAACTAGAAAATAGTAACAACAAGATAGATGGGAAATCTCCAAATATTTGGAAGTTAAAAAACAAAGAGAAAAGCCCAAGAGAAATTAGAAGATCTCTTCAGCAAACAGGAAAACAGAACATAGGACAATCTGATGGACACAGCTAAAGTAGTACTCAGAGGGAAATTTGTAGCATTACATGCTTAAACATGCAACAGAGATAAACCTATAGACCTGGGTGGCTCGAGCCACAAATGTGATTCCAAAGCACCCTAACACCTGGGTTAAATAAAAATGTGCATGGAAGCAACTACACAGTAGGTGTTCAGTAAACAAACAATGCATGAAAAGTACAAATGAACAAAAAAATGAATAAATGCACAGGCAAGAAACAGACAGAAGTCCAAGTCAGGCAACTACAAAGGACTGGGGCAGGACCCTAGATCGCTTTCTCAACTCAATGAATTAACTGAGACTCCAATCACTTGATCTCTGGGTCCATCAAAAGCATGAATTTCTCCTCACAGGACCTAGAAAACTACTGGAGCCCTGACACAAACCTAGTTATCACCTTTTATTAACTGTATCAAAATGCCACGTGCCACAAAGGCACTTCCTTTTTGTTAAGCAGAAAAACCCATCCGGAAAGAAAGGGGAGCAGGTTTTCTCACGCTCACCCACATTTGTTTACAGTCCAACCCAGCGTCACTCAGAATCCCTGGCTGGTTTGTGGCCAGTACTTGCCAGTACTCTCACGACAAAGGGGTTCACAGGACATGACTCAATTACTTTAGGTTGCTTAACTCCCTTCAGGTTTCCTCATCTTCCTGTAAAAATAAGTTTCTACACAGGTGGCTGCTTTCACAGTGACAAGCACAAAGAGAAGGGAGTGAGGGAGAGAGAACAGAAGAGAACCAGTACTTAATCACTACTGTCAGCCAAGGTACTGAACACGCACCAGTTCACTTCCTTTTCTCAACAGCTTGTAAGTAGACACAACCCTCCCCAGAGTAGAGCAGAGCAAAAGGAGACTGAACTTCAGGTCTTCCCAAACCACCACCTGAAAATGGCCAATCTGGACAACGAAACTCCCAACAGCAGCTTTGCTCAGCTGGCTATGTTACAGAACACATTCCTTTGACAGTGGGACGCAAGTCCCCAGCAGCTCTGATCAAGAAACTCTTGAGCATTCTCACTGAGTAAGGAACATGCAGAGCTCCGATTTCCAAGCTCCTAGGTCCAAAAATAAATCCATGTACATTTGTGCTTCTAAATTTATAGCCTACAATGCCTACACCACTTTGTTGTGATGAATGATGCAAAACCTGTAAACCACAAGGGACAGGAACTGAGTGCTGTCTCTGTAACTTAACCACACCTACGTTTCCCATTTAAGACACTAAGAAAACATTCTTGACTAGTTCCTGCAAGATCAGTTGCTTCTGAAATTCTGGCTCAAGCCACCAATGTGATTCCAAAAGCACCTCAACTTCTTTCAGATGAATTTTATCAGCTGAAAAACATTTGATCACATTTATGTGCTTTATTAAAATAAGTGGGTCATTACCAAAAGCCAGAGCTCTTTATCAGCCCTTCTGCAAAACAGCACATGTCTGACACATCAGGGTCTCTTAGAACCTAGAACAGTGGTCACATTTCAAAACTTTTCTTAAGGACGTGAGCGCACACCTGCATAAATATATAGTGTAAGAGGTGACAGGAAAAATACAGACATTAAAATTCAACTATTTTCTTTGTGCCCCTCAGGGGACGACCTTATACACCTTCTTTGTAGCCTGCGACCCTAGACCCAGCATATAACTAGGCAGTGTCTGATCAACAAACAGTTTCCCAGGTGATGGTTACTATTCAATGGCAAAAAAACCACAGACCAGCTTTGAAGGTTTAGGGTTTGTTTGTTTTTTCAAGGGCATAAAAGCATTCTAACTGTATGTTTAAAAAAAAAAAAAAAGTCATAAAAAATTAGCCTCAGGGCACCTGGGTGATTCAGTCATTAAGCGTCTGCCTTTGGCTTGGGTCATGATCCCAGGGTCCTGGGATTGAGCCCTGCATCGGGCTCCCTGCTCAGCAGGAAGCCTCTTCTCCCTCTCCCACCCCCCCCACCCCCCCGCTTGTGTTCCCTCTCTGTCTCTCTCTGTCAAATAATAAATAAAATCTTTAAAAAAAAAAAAAATTAGAAAGCCTCGTTTAGGATGATGATCAAATGATCAATGAGAAAAATTCCTAGTGTTTAAAGCGGTCACAACCATCACCCCTGACAACTGTGACAGGCGGGTCAACATGTACAGGTGGAGGGCCCTATCACCTAACTCCACGTTCATGGGCATGGTCAAAGGGCAGCAATGTCTCCTGTTACTTATTATCACAGTTGTGGTCATCACTGTGACCAATGACTGAGGGCCAAAAACAGGCTGACTACTATGCCAGGCACTTTATATACATGATTTCCTTGAATCCTAACCATCCTGCAAGAGATGTCAGTATGCGCATTTTGCAACAGGAAATGTAATCAGCATGTAACTTGACCAAAAGTAACACTGCTCCCATGAAGCAGAAAAGGAATTTAAATTCTATACCACCATTCCTTCTGTTGGTACAATAATATGCACAAGTATATATTTAATACTAATAATCTGCCAGCACACATTTTCTCAATGAAACCATATTCTCCACACCTAAAACACATTTGTACTGTGCTTTAAAAAGCATCTGCATATTAATCATTTCCTCAGTTTATTCTTCCAACAAACCTGAGAGATGTGAAAGAATATCTACCACTAAATATAGCAAAATCAGGCACAGTCCCAGAACCAAAGAATACAACTGTTCAGCATCCAAAATAGAGAATAAGGCGGAAATACCTTTTCTTTGAAGAATCTCATTCAAAAACACACTTACAGTTGGCAAATTCACCAAAAACAGGATCTACTGTTGTGTAATGAAGTTTCAGATACACGAATATACTACCCATAAAGCACATCTGACCTGACACCATAGCAACATGGAGCTATTTTGCAATCACAAAAATAATGTTTTGGGAACAAAAGTGCAAATGTTTAAACTTGGAATGTAAATATTCTATTTAGAATTTGAAAAACTCATAAAACCTCAGCAATACAAAGGGTTTGAGAAGGTCAGTCCAACCTCTTCCCAGGCGGGGATTCGCCTCACCACCTCCATTTGGCACATTTCTGGGGAAGCGGTGTTCACTACCTCCACCACGAACCACTGATGCCATTTACTGAGCAAGCATTCATAATGTGCCAAGCATTAGCTCATTATTTCATTTCTGAAATAAATAACTATAGTGTAGAGGAAATACACTTTATGCCTATAAGAAAAATGACCTTGAGAAACACACGGGGGAAAAAACATTTCCCCATTTACTGTTTTTAAAAAATACAATAAAAAAGGGGTGCCTGGGTGGCTCAGTCATTAAGCGTCTGCCTTCAGCTCACATCATGATCCCAGGGTCCTGGGACCAAGCCCCGCATCGGGCTGCTACTCCACAGGAAGCCTGCTTCTCCCTCTCCCACTCCCCCTGCTTGTGTTCTTGCTCTCGCTCTCTCTCTCTCTGTCAAATAAATAAAATCTTAAAAAAGAAAAATACAATAAAAAGTACAAAAGTAATTTTCGCTGGACTATGGGATTATGGGTAACTTTTCTTTATATTTTTCTATCTTTTCCTAGTTTTTAAAATACTTATTTTTCACAAGCCTTTATTACTTTATTTAGGAAATTTTCAAACACATACAAAAAGACCACAAATATAACGAACCCCAAGTTAGCATCAATAAAGGTCAACATCAATTATCAACAGATGGCCAACCCACTTTTCCCTCTATCCCCAGTGCATTACTCTAAAGCAAATCCCAGATGTCGTATCACTTCATCCAATAAATACTTCAGTTTTTCATCTCTAAAATAAGGGCCATTTAAAAACAAACCCATGGGCGCCTGGGTGGCTCAGTCGTTAAGCGCCTGTCTTCGGCTCAGGTCATGATCCCAGGGTCCTGGGATCGAGCCCTGCATCGGGCTCCCCGCTTGGCAGGAAGCCTGCTTCTCCCTCTCCCACTCCCCCTGCTTGTGTTCCCTCCCTCACTGTGTCTCTCTCCGTCAAATAAATAAATAAAATCTTTTAAAAATAAATAAATAAATAAATAAAAACAAACCCATGAAAACATTGTCACACCTAAAACATTAACAATACAAATTACTTTTTTAATCAGAAAAAAAATGTTTTAAGAAAATGAGAACATGAAAAAAGAATACGAAAATGCGTAATGACATAACTACTTAACCAGTTTTACATGACCCAGTCTCACTGAAGAGGTCTGGCTGCATGGCTATCCCTTCGGGCCACAAGAAAAACTGGCAAAACTGTCTATTTCTATTTATCAATGTTTCTGGGGTTTACCTGTTGAGAACTGCTTCCTTGTCTCCCAGACGGCTTTTAATTTTACTTGTCAGATAGTCCAAAAAGAGCGTCCAGATATCCAAACAAGAGAAGTAACCTTCATGAGTAGGCTATGATGCAAAAGAAATCCAGACAATGAAATTACTTAATGCGACTCCTCTTTAGAAACATACCCACCAGTGTTTATTTCCACCAGAATGGTGCAACCATAAGCCTAGATTCCCTCCGCTTCCCGGTAACCACAACTGGTATCTTTTAGATGGTCTTCACGACTAGGCCCTGGTGATCCTAACAAGACAAGAGTGCCGCAAACACATCATTAGGGAGATACTATGCAGGACAAACTGAATTACAAAATAAGCCGAGCAGACGCCAATCTTTAAATCTAAGATTGATTCGGGCTGGGGCGGGGGGCGGGGGGGGCTCTCACAGATCATCCGATTCAAATCTGTTTTAGAGAAAAAGAAATTGAGATCCAGAGACATGATTTATTCAAGGTCAGGGGTAGGAGCAGGTCCCTTTACCCCCAGCCAATGCTCTTTCCACTACATACCCTTACAAAACCAAAAACCCAGTGGCAGTGGCTCGGAAGGTACCAAGTTTACATATCTGAAGGTTAGGAGAGTAACATTTGCAGTCTTCCTACAAACAGACTGAAAATGAGCTTCCTTCTGACCCTCAGGCATTATCTCCTCTGCAGAAGAAGGGGTGTCCAACAGGCTAATAGCAATCTCTAACCAGGTGTTGATAAAGACAAAGTGAGCAGAGAAGAGCGAGTCTCTGTAGGGTCCTAGTGCTCCAATTTCTCAAGAGCCTTGAGATTCTACTTCATGCAAAATCTTGGCACTATGTTCTCCAAAATGTAGTCCTTCTCACACATACTCGATTTCAACTTCCAGCCCCCAATCCCTTCTATATCCACTCAAATTCCTGCTACCTCCAAGAGCTCTTTGATTTTATTTGTGACAACTTCACTGAGCCCCATGTTTGGTGGCAGGATCAGACAGGAAAAGAAATAATACCATCATCTTCTAGGATCAGTTTCCTTCCATTTAGGATCTACAAGGAAATCCAGAGGCTTACAAGGGTGTATGTGGGATTTGCATATTGGGTGGTAGCATGAGATGGAAGTTCTGTACCCATAACTAACTTTTTCTGGGGCAGACGCGGGCAGAGTCCAACCTCACAACCCACAGGGTCGCCCTGGAACTGGAATGCATAGCTCAATAAGGATCACCGACAGGGCCATCCTCAGAAAACAGAATGACTGTTTCCTGTCTCCACTTCATCCTTTGCAAAACCCAGGATGTCCACGACATGAAATGAGCCCGAAGAATAAGGAGAAAAAACAATAAGCCACGTGGAGATAATATGGGTAGCTTGTAGACAGGAGATGGAATCTTTCCTGGCTGTGGCTTGCTGAGCTTCCTGCAGGTCGATCACTCAGCTGTCCCTCCTAGATCTGAAAACACCCACCTTCTCCTCCACAGAACATAACTGATTAGATGCTTGTGGAAGTGCTTTTGGGAAAAGTCACCACACAAACCCAGGGTTTATGGTTATGTCTAAGTACCTTACAATTATACACGTCCTTCCCATGCCTCTGAATTGAGGATTTACCACGTGGCTCAAGACCAGAAAATAAGGGCAGGTACACCCTCTGTAGGACCTGAAACACATCCCTACCTGCAGGCCCCACTGTGAGGCCTTGTGCACTGCCCATAATCTCACCTATGACAACTGCTGTGGGTACAGATCGTTAAGCTCATAAAGATGACAGGCTGGCTGCACTTTTGGAGTCATCCAATGTTTCAGAACCCTCACAGACCCATTTTAAAAATGTACCTGTACTCAGATTTATTTTTCACACTCCAGGGCTGATCAATCACTAAAGAGCCTGACAAGTTTCTTCAAGAAATTAGTGATACCACCCTTCTCCAAGCACTTTACAGTGGTTATTTGCATTGGTCTATTTGATCTTCACAATAGCCCTGGAAAGTGGACAGGTGCTTTTCTTCTTCCCATTTTACAGATAGAGAAACCAAGACTCAGAAGCAAAGTCACCTGCCCAACGTGACAAGATAAGGAACAGAAAGAGAACTAGAATATGGGACTTAAGCCTCCTGGTCCAGAGCCCTCTCCCCTGGGCCACACTACCCCAGGCATTGTTGTAAGAAGGACAGGTGGGGGGGGGGGGATGTTGAAAATGCAAGACCAAGAAGGACCTGGTGACGATGTGGTAAGAGAAGGACAGGAAGACAGAAATCAGATACTTCTAGGCACACCTCAGCAGGGAGAGCAATGGTGGAGGCAAACACCTGCTGAGCTCTGGGGGCTGGAGGCACTGCGACAGGATACTTTGGTGGAAAAAAAAAATGTAGGAAAAGAAACTAAGAGAGAGGCAAGAGTTACAGAAAGATACTAACACCATCTTTGTCTCATTACTATTCTTTCAATATATGGTGACCAGTACTAAAATTTCTTATGAATTTTTTTAAGTCATCTCTATACCCAACATGGGGGGCCCCAAACTCATGACCCTGAGATTAAGCGTCAGATGCTCTACCACTGAGCCAGCCAGGCACCCCTCTATGAATTTTAGAAACAAAAGGCAGAAACACTTGAGTACACTCATAACCCTCTAGACAAGAGGAAAGTACATTTTCCCACTTCACAGATAATTATGATAAAGTTAGATCACACTAATGAATAGATGAGATCTTAAAGCTATCTCTTGAGAGCACTTCATTTCTTATTCTTAAATCTTACCCCAAAAAACTCCCCTACTCCCACCAGCTCCTGATCCTGAAGTGCACCCTGCCATCTTTTTTCCACCCTGCCTCTCCAGGGAAGGACGGCCCAGCCTACAGTAAACTGCACAGAGCACCTTCCAGCTTCCTGCTCCTCTGCCTGATGCTCAAATCTGCTTCTGCCTGGACCCAAAGGATACCGACTCCCACAGTCCGAGAGCCTGTGCCCAGAAAGGAAGGTCCTCATACAGGAGGCCAAGAGAGTACAAGGGAGCTCGGCTGAGTGACCTCAGCTAATGGAGGGAGAAAGAAGCTTGTTGTTTGCTTCATGACCATAGCCATTTCTTTTCCCAGTATATAAATATAACACATATAGGGCGCCTGGGTGGCTCAGTTGGTTAAGCGACTGCCTTCGGCTCAGGTCATGATCCTGGAGTCCCGGGATCGAGTCCGGCATCGGGCTACCTGCTTGGCAGGGAGTCTGCTTCTCCCTCTGACCCTCCTCCCTCTCATGCTCTCTGTCTCTCATTCTCTCTCTCTCTCAAATAAAAAAAAAATATATAACACATATAAATATATAAAACCACCACTATGAGTTCAACGGAAAACGAACACAGAGGATTCTAGAGAGGGGACCACAGATGATGAACACTGGGCCAGATTGTGAAGGTGCCCACCACAGTCCATCTCCTTAGGTGAGGAGACTAAATCTAAGGAAATTAAGATGACTAGTCCAAGGACACAGGCCTCATAGAAATAACCAGAGCTCAAACACAGAACTGGGTCCAGGTGCAAAGCAGTAGACATAAGACCTGCATACTTTAAAACTTCTATTTAGGGGGCGCCTGGGTGGCTCAGTCGGTTAAGCATCTGCCTTTGGCTCAGGTCATGATCTCAGGGTCCTGGGAATGAGCCCCACGTTGGGCTCCCTGCTCAGCGGGGAGCCTACTTCTCCTTCTCCCTCTGCTCCTCCCCCTGCTCGTGTGCTCTCTCCCCCGCAACCCCTCTGTCAAATAAATAAATAAAATCTTTAAAAAAAAAAAAAACACTTCTATTTAGCTTTTTTCTATACCGCACATAAAGGGCAGACAGAAAACTTCACACACAGAGCAAAATGGCAAAACATTTTCATTCCATTTCTCCAAATAAACCCCTTCTTTCTGACCTCAGCACTGGCTCATCTCTTTCATTTCTGCTATACTTACTCTAAGGTATCTACTGAATCCTTTCTTCTGGTCCCCTCTGGATCCATTTCTCTGGATCCGTCTCAAAACGTTCCCACCTCAAAAAAAAAAAAAAAAACATTCCCACCTCGAATGCTTCTGTCCTACCTCCTCACCCTCCCACATCTCGTCACCTCTTCCATTCCTTCTTAGGTCTGGTGAGCTCAGCATGCTGCCCTTCTAGCTCCACGCCCACTGGCCCCTCTACCAGATATCTTGACACTTCCTCAACCCTGGTCCTCCTCCACCTGCACCTTCCCCACTGCACCCAGGAACAGGTCACCCTTACCCACTGGGGGCGCTTACTTTTATGTGCCCTGAGAAAACCAAGCTCAGCACCATACCCTCGACCACATACACACTCCCCTCCCGGCCTAGGCCTGTGTCTCTCTTCCAGCTACAACATTAGTGGTTTAAACTACCAAAACAGTCTACTTATAAAATCACATGCCCTTACTGACCCAGTAATGTCATCACCAGGATACACCAACAGAAAGAGCTACACAGGGACACCCAAAAGCATGCACGAGAACATCCACTGCATCACCATTCATGATCACCAAAAACCCAAAAGCAGCCCAAATCAGCCATGGAATGGATCTGCAGATAATGACTTACTATAAAGCAATGAGGGCAAACTACTGCCACACACAACACAGATGAATCTCACCAACGGACGCTGAATGAAAAAGCCAGACAGAACAAATACATACTGGAGACTTCCATTTAGAGAAGTTCTCAAAGAGGCAAAACTAATCTGGGATGTTAAAGGCAGGGTTGGGTTCCACATGGGGAGAAGTGAAGGGGAAGGAATTGGGAAGAGATATAGGGGGTGCTGGCAGGAATGTTCTATTTCTTGATTAAGGTGGCGGTGACATGGGTTTGTTCATTTTGGGAAAATTCATCAAGCTGTCCATGTATGATCTGTGCACTTCTCTGTATGTGATACTTCAATAAAAACCTTATTCTAAAGACACTCACAAAAGGATGAGCTCTGAGTAATGTACAGAATTGTTGAATCACTACACTGTACACTTGAAACTAATGTAACACTGCATTAATTATAGTGGAATTAAAAAATAAATCAGACACACAGGTGCGCAAGCAGGATAGGATATGATAGAAATGTCTGAAACCCAACTGTGATGATGGTTGCACAAGTCTATAAACTGACTGAACATCTCTGAATTGTACAATTACGATGGGTGAATTTCGTAAGATGTAAATTTTACTTCAGAAAGCTTTTAAAATATACATATGTATATAAATAAAAGACGCTGGGTCACAAAATGTAAACTCAATGAAGGCACAGACTTTGCTTGTGAGGGTTATATGCCTAGCCCCTGATATACAAGACAAGCTCAAAAAGTATCAAAAAATGAGGGCTAAAAGCGGATCTGCCAAAACTTAACTCTTTCTTGAGAGTTTCACTACTTACAATCTCCTTGTAGGGAGTTTTAGTGACAGCTATAGAACTAAAGGCCCTAATTTCAGACTATTTCCATCTTTTGTTTCTCCAACAAAACAGTGGTTAAGAACACAGACTCTATGAGTTCAAATCCTGGCCCCACCACTTACTGACTGTATGACCCTGAGCAAATGACTCTCTGTGCCTCAGTTTCTTTATTCTGGAAAATGGAGACGGTTAGGAATACCCACCTCCAAGGGTTGTTACAAAGGATACATGTGTTAATCTTCACAAAGTAAGTACTATATAAATGTTTGGGAAATAAAGAAGCTCTTTCCCCTGAAAGCAACAGAGTGGACTTTTTTTCAGGGGGAAAGGATGAGTAGTTCTGGTGTTTTACCTGATGAAACGTGTACTTGAACAAAAGCGTCAAAAACTCCACCACGGGGAACTGGGAGTAGGACTCGATTCTTCTCAGGTGGACACTCACAAAGAGCCTCAGGAAGTCAGTAAACTTCTCGATGTAGCTAAGTAAGACAAGAAGACGAAGGGTGACAGTCAGAATCCCAGCCACCTCCTTAGAAGAAAACTCAAATTCAATCCAAATTTCTTTCAGTACAGAACTATACAGATTTAAAATACATTTTCAGTTAAAAATATAAAGGCCTGCAACAATTACCTACAGGTCAGGCAACCCTTCATTCCATTACCACCTGAAACATAGCAGAAAAGCAACTTTAATCCTCAGACACTCTCTATTAAGGCATCTTATAAACTAGTGCTCTCACAGATTCTAACTCCTTCACGTTATGACCCAATTCAAGTGAAAGGAAAAGGTACTAAGAAGTCGATGGGCAGAGCATGTGCATCATTTCAATGTGGCAAGTCCGGAAGGCTGTTTGTCTTTGCTAGGGGGCCAACGTATTTAAATGAATGTGCTAAGAACAAAAACAAAACAAGGCTAGACCAATGGCATGGCATCCAGGTAAAGTCTATGCAGGCTTGCAACCTAATGCTCGTGCTCCCCCCCTGCCCCGCCCTCTGGCTCCCAGGGTAATTAAACGCAAGTCCACCCCGGTCCACTCTGAAAGTGATTGCAAAAATAAGGGAGGAGGGCTGCCCGAGCTGGACAGGCCTCGGGGACAACTGAGTCTGGTGCTTCATTGGCCAGACGAGGCCCAGGGTGATAAAGTGACCCGCCCAAGGTTGCTGAGCCAGCTCACGGCAGAGTGGGACCCCCATCCACTCCCACACCAGTGCTCTTTCCTTTCCCAGTACAGTGACTCCCCAATTCCTGTGTATTCACAGTATCATTTCCCAGAGGAGTGTGGGTCCCAGCTGCAAGGATAAGAGACTGCTGTTACTAAACACACAGCACATCATCACTCTCACATTTCAGCAACTGTCATTGTAAGCCCCTCAATACCAAAAGGTGATTAGAAAATGAGATGGACATACCTCCATAAATCACATTTCAGAGACCAATAAACAAAGATAAAGATTCACTACAGGCCTTAGTCAAAAATTAATTAATGGCTACAGGCAATTCTGAAACTCACCACTCAAAAAAAAAAAATTTTTTTTTAAAGCAAGGATTATGCAAAATAATAAAGGGGGAAGAAAAAGACTACTACTTAGAAGAGCAAAATCGGTCCATAAATCCAATGTCCCGCACCGTTCCTGGGACCCAGCGGCCAACCCGCCTCTCTGACTTCTGCACGGCTAGTAGCTAACACGTACGTGCAAGCTTTTTAGCAGTTTAAAAAAACAAAAATAAAAACCATTCATTTGCTTGATAAAGAGAAGGGCCATCTCTGTGGATCATGGGACCAAGTCCCTGAGACACAGTAAGGCATCTGAGCCAGCTGTTTTTAGAGAAAGTCAAGTACGAGGAGACTTCTCTCTGATGCCTTGGATCATGAGTACTCAAGAGCGGGAGCTCCTCCTTCCTCGCTCTGCTTATCACGTGATCTTCTGCTGTGGTTATTCAGAGCCATCATTAGGAAGATGCACTCAATTCCCCGCCACCCATGAAATAAACAGAAGTCCTGGTAAATGCCGCACTGCCTCGATTTCATTTCAATCTCCAACCCAATTTTTGAAGCATACAGACAAGGGCCGTTCGGTAGCTGAAACTCTAGATTTTATTTCACCTCATTTTCTTTCCCTTGCCCACCTTCTGGCACAGGTGCTAATGAGCAGTAGGTTAGAAACAGGCACTGGGGGAGAAGAGGGGCAGAGGCCCCGGGTCAGAAGCTCCTAAACAACTGAGAATGGACTTAGCTGTTTAGAATGAGTGGTCGGGGGCCCGAGAGCCAGGAAGCAAGCACACAGGACTGTTTAGGTCACCTTTCTGCTGCCGGGCACCTCTCAGCTTTCTCAGGGCAAGAGGAAGCACAGGATTAAAATATAAAACCAAAAGCACAAAAGTTACACGTAACAAAAGCATTACATTGACAAGCCGTGACCACATTTCTCTACCGCCCGAATGTGAGCCATCACGAACACTATACTCCAAGTGCAACTCAGAACAGCCGATACCTGGCGGTTGGTGCGAGCAGCTGGACTTTTTGTTAACATACGAAAATACAGCCTTCCTTAACGAAAGCTAGAAAGGATATAAAATTGTGTGTTTGCATACTGACGCCTTTGCATTCATAGAGGAAGCTATTACAAAATAATGAAAAATAAAACCAACAGATCACCATACAGGATTATGAGCTCTTTTGTGATTATACAAACAAAATTTCACACAAAGCTTGTTTACAAGGAACCAAACCAAAAGAATCTTAAGAATCCACGTTTTTAATTTTAGAAAACCCTTAATAAAATTGCTAAATTTAAAAAGCACTAGGACGGTCTTTAAACACTTGACTTTATATTCTGCTACTTCAAGGAAAAGGAAAATACCTTAACTCTGCTAGCTTCAGAACAAAAAACAAGCCAAGGAAAACGAATTAAGATATTAACATTTGCTGCCTGGCAATCTATAAATATTTTCTAACTCAATACGATTTATCCGCCGGGATGTTTCTGAACAGTCAACACGATGCTGGTAATGTAAGTTTCCACTTTTCCCGCTCGCTGGGACACGGCGGTAGCATCGCATCACCGAAAGCTGTGGGACAGATAAAGGACATCATCCAGAAGACCACACCTCACGGTACCGTGACGGAGTCATCTTTTGGTGTACTTCAGAAAGAAAAGCGAGGTCATTTTCGGCTCCACTCAAGGGGAGGTAACAAAGAAACCCAAGTGTGCGCCACGTGAGTATGTGCCCTCATTCACATCTCTGTCTCTGGATGAAAGTGGGCCGTCTGTGCGAAGCTCAGAGCAACACCATTCCTCTACACTGCACGGTTTCCCTTGGGAAGGGTCCAACAGTAAACCCTGGCGGGCAACATCAAGTGAAGAGGGGGCATTAGCGCTCCTGTACCTCCACGGCCTCCTCCCACGCTCCTGGCTACGCACGAGCAGCAGATTCGGCTCCTGCGCCACCTCAGACCTGCAGGCGAATCGTGAGGACGGGGCAGGGGGGTGCGGGGGAGGGCGGAAGGGAGGACAGGAGGCAGAGCGGGGGGAAGACAACACACCTACACAATTCACAGTCACTTTCCCAGCTCGGCTCATCCCCCTAGCCACCCTAGCCCTTCCAGCTAAGCTCAGACTTACTGGTACACACCTACCTGTCCATTCCTCATCAGGAGCCCCACACTCTGAAACCAAAGAGGATTACAGACACTACGCAGCACAGCGTGACAAACAGTCATGGCCCCTTCTCAGGACACGGCCGACCCCACACCTGTTTTCATTACCTCTCATCGAGTTCTTCCAGCCTGCTCTTCACCGTGTGGGCATTGTTATCCTTGGTGATTTTCTGCAGGAGGTAGAAAGTCTGCTGGAACATACGTAGTAAATACTCCTCGAATTCCATAGGCACACAGTTCTTGGACATGAGTTCATTGATGCAGGACATGGCCAGGACCCCAAGCCGGCCGCGCTCCTGACCCAACACACAGTTCTGGCTGCTGCCGTTAACAGATGCCATCTTTCTGGCCCGGATGTCACAGCCAAAGCGCGCAAAGTGGAAGATGGTGGTTAGGAGGGATGGGGTGATGCTGGCAGACAGAGGAATCCAACTGAAGAGATGGGCCAGGCACTCCAAGGCCAGGGAACAGATATACTCACTCTCCGCATCAAGGATGGGGATTGGCTGATTCAACAGTTTGGCTGAACTAGGACTCTGCAACAGGTTACTCAGTAAGTCACCTGGAAATACAAAGAGCTTTCAACATACACACTACTGAGTCTCGCACAAACCAATTTAACTACAACAGAGAGAAAGCAAAAACCATCTTTCATTAAGCTCCATATTAAAGAGATCTACAGAAATGTAAAAGAAAGCCATTCATACTCCTTGGTGCTCAGTAAATTTTTGTTTGCTTTGGAGAAAGTATTTTTCATGAAAACATATCACTTGTTTATATGCAGAGTTCATCACAGCTCTTTTTAAATGAATCAATGTAGGGCACCTGGGTGGCTCAGTCAGTTAAGCGTCTGCCTTCAGCTCAGGTCATGATCCCAGGGTCCTGGGATCGAGTCCCACGCCCGGCTCCCTGATCAGGGGGGAGCCTGCTTCTCCCTCTGCCCCTCCCCTGCTCGTGTTCATGTTCTCTCTCAAATAAATTAAAAAAAAAAAAATCTTAAATGAATCAATGTAAATGTTCCCAATGTTAATATCAATAGATATAACCCATAAAGCTCTTTGAGGACCTCGGTAATTTTTAGGAATAAAGGGGTCTGGGTGGCAGAGTAGGCAAAATGGGTGAAGAGAGTCAAAAGATACAAACTTCCAGTTATAAGATAAAGAAGTATGGAGGATGTCACATACAGTTGTGACTATAGTTAGTTAACAATACCGTATTGTATATTTGAAAGTTTCTAGGGGAGTAAATTTTAAAAGTTCTCATCCTAAGAAAAAAAAATTTAACTATGTGTGGTAATGGATGTTAACTTTCTCTTGCAATCAGTTTGCAACATTTAACACATATCAAATCATTATGTTGTACACCTGAAACTAACAGTGTTATATGTCAATTATATTTCAATTAAAAAAAAAGAGAGTAAAGGGGTCCAGAGACTAAAATTTTTGAGAACTACTGGGCTACTCGAGGTTAGGTCTGTAGACCTGCACCATCAGCACAATCTGGGAACTTGTCAGAAATACGAATTATCAGGCCCCACCCCACATGTACTGAGGAAGATCCTGGAGGAGTGTGGCCCAAAAACCTGTTTTTACACACTCTCCAAGAAGTGATTCTTATGCTTGCTTAATTTTTTTAGGTGTTTTTTTTTTTTAAGTTTTTATTTTAATCACCCTGTGCTCATCACGAGTGTATTCCTTAATCCCTATCACCTATTTCACCCATCCCCCACCTACTTCCCCTCTGGTAACCGTCAGTTTGTTCTCTACAGTTAACAGTCTGTTTCTTGGTTTGCCTCTTTTTCCTTTCCTCGCTTGTTTTGCTTCTGAAATTCCACATAGGAGTGAAATCATATGGTATTTGTCCTTCTCTGACTGACTTATTTCACTTAGCATTATACTCTCTAGTTCCATCCATGTCATTGCTAATGGCAAGATTTCTTTTTTTTTTTTTTAAAGATTTTATTTATTTGGCAGAGAGAGACACAGCGAGACAGGGAACACAAACAGGGGGAGTGGGAGAGGGAGAAGCAGGCTTCCCGCGGAGCAGGGAGCCCAATGTGGGGCTCGATCCCAGAACCCTGGGATCATGACCTGAGCCAAAGGCAGACGCTTAATGAATGAGCCACCCAGGCGCCCCAGATTTCGTTCTTTGTTATGGCTGAACAATATTCCATCGCATATATATACCACATCTTCATTAATTGATAGACACTTGGGCTGCTTCCATATCTCGGCTATTATAAATAACGCTGCTATAAACATAAGGGTGCATTATCCCTTTGAATTCATGTTTTTGTATTCTTTGGGTAAATACTCAGTAGTGCAACTGCTGGATGGTGGGGTAGTTCTATTTTGAACTTTCTGAGGAACCTCTAACATGCTTGCTTAACTTTTGAGAAGCATTAGACTAAAGAAAATCATGTAAACTGAAATGGGCTTGCAAAAAAGCTATAAAATGATTTTAGAGAGGACAAAGGACAAATATTCAAAACTATAACAAGAAAAAAACTTACCTGAAATAAAGAGGTGTGTATACAAAAGAAAGGGGCTTATTCTGCCCCAAGAAGAAATGATAAAAGCTAATCAATACTAAGGATTTTAGGAATAAGGAAGAAATGTAGGCCAAAAAAGCACATACACAAAGGAGAAAACACCACATTCAGACTTCCTCACAGCACGCAAGAAGCCAGACAACAGTAGTACCATGTCCACAAGTGCTGAGGCAGGGAGTAACTTAACCCAAAGCTCTCCTTTGAGTACAAAGGAAGAGGACATCTTCTCAAACACAGAAGCTCAAATAAGATATTGCCCACAAACTCTTCTTCTCTTTTTTTTTTTAAGATTTTATTTATTCATTTGACAGAGAGAGCGAGCGACTGTGCGCACGAGTGGCGGGGGCAAGAGGGAGAAGCAGGCTCCCCGCAGAGCAGGGAGCCCGATGCGGGGCTCGATCCAGGACCCCGGGATCATGACCTGAGCCAAAGGCAGACGCTTAACGACTGAGCCACCCAGGCACCACCCCCAGCCTCCCAAACTCTTCTTAGGGAGGAGACTGAATAGTGAAACCATGCAAATAAAGCAATAAATAAAAATGAAGAATTAAGGACGGGGGCTGCTGTGGCAAGGGGACCAGAGCAAGCATTGAATTAAATATAGAATCAAGACTAAACAGATGTAGGAATCACAGAGGGTGTGCTAGCCAATCCTCTTTCACAAGCAAGAAGTCTCAAAATATATGGGCTAGAATTAAAACATGTAGTAAGGAATTGGTTTTCATCTTTTTTTTTTCTTAAGCCTAGAGGTATCTTTTACAAACTAACATTCCTTGTGGAAAAAGTAATCCCTTTTGTTTTAAAACCTCCCGTTAAATTCAGGTAAAATTATAATTTGTTTTTATTAAAAATAAAACTGAGGGCTGGTCAGTCAGAAGAGTAAGGGACTCTTGATCTCAGGGTCCGTGAGTTCAAGCCCCATGCTGGGTATAAAGATTACTTAAAATAAAATCTCTAGGGACACCTGGGTGGCTCAGTCGGTTAAGCTTCTGCCTTTGGCTCAAGTCATGATTCCAGGGTCCTGGGATCAAGTCCATGTTGGGTTCCTTGCTCGGCAGGGAGCCTGCTTCTCCTTCTACCTGCTGCACCATCAGCACAATCTGGGAACTTGTCAGAAATACGAATTATCAGGCCCCACCCCACATGTACTGAGGAAGATCCTGGAGGAGTGTGGCCCAAAAACCTGTTTTTACACACTCTCCAAGAAGTGATTCTTATGCTTGCTTAATTTTTCTAGGTGGTTTTTTTTTTTAAGTTTTTATTTTAATCACCCTGTGTTCATCACGAGTGTATTCCTTAATCCCTATCACCTATTTCACCCATCCCCTGTTCATGCTCGCTCTCTCCCTCTCCCTCTCTCCTTCTCTGACAAATAAATACATTTTTAAAAAATAAAATCTCTAAAAAACTAAAAATAAAAAAATAAAAATGTATATGATGCCACTTTGTCTTTTTATTTAGCTTACTGTCTCTGTAACTACATATAAAGAGGCACCTGGAATGGTGTTATTTCTGGATGGTGGAATACTGGCTACATTTCTACACTGTATTTTGTGCTTTACACAGCAGCAGTTCTCAAACATTTTGGCCCCAGAACCCCTTTATACTCTTAAAAATTATTGAGGATGTCAAAGAACTTTTGTGTATGCAGGTTATTTCTGTTGATATTCGTCACATAGAAATTAAATAAAAAATAGAAATTAAAAAGTTTTCAAATATTTCAAATATTCACTTAATAAACGCATTACATGTTAGCATAAAATATTTTTAAATGAAGAAAATGTAGTTTGCCGCCAACAAATAAGTGAGAAGAATAGCACTGTATGTTTCTGGAAATCTCTGTAATGTCTGTCTGGCTTAAAAGAAGACAGATTCTTTAATCTGCTTCAATCTGCTGCAATATGCTGTTTTCGCTGAAGTATATGAAAAAAACGGCTTCACAGAGATATGCAACTGACAAAGACTAAAACGTTTCTGCCGCCTTCCTAGGTGACTATACCTGTTCTTTAATACGATATAAAAATTTTACTAGTGGGCGCCTGGGTGGCTCAGTTGGTTAAGCGACTGCCTTCGGCTCAGGTCATGATCCTGGAGTCCCGGGATCGAGTCCCGCATCAGGCTCCCTGCTCGGCGGGGAGTCTGCTTCTCCCTCTCCCACTCCCCGTTTGTGTTCCCTCTCTCGCTGTGTCTTTCTCTGTCAAATAAATAAATAAAATCTTTAAAAAAAAAAAAAAAAAAAAAAAAAAAAAAAAATTTTACTAGTAATAATTTCTTAAAGGTTAATTGCAATGTGGGATCTGAATGAGTTTTATTCAGTATATTCATCAGAGAAGAAGTAAAAATGACAAACAACGTCTTAGTATTTTTATGAACATATATTTGACCTTTGGGACCCCTGAAAGGGCTTGTGGGACCCAGGGCCCCCAGATCTATTGAGAACTCCTGCCTTACACTAATGCGGGATGAACACGAACAGATTAGTTAACCTTTCTCAGCCTCATCTCCTCGGCCATTAAAATGAGGATTTTGTGATTTATTAATAAGGGGTTTAGTTTCTATTGTTAAAAGTAGATCAAAAAGTTGTCCCCTGGTATCTTATCTTGCAAGGTGTTCACCGGCTTCTGTCTGAAAGAGCTGCATTTTTTCCAAAAGATTTTACTTATTTGAGAGAGAAGAGATAGAGCACTGGAGGGTAGAGGGAGAGAATCTCCAAGGAGACTCCCCACTGAGCGCGGAAGAGCCCACATGGGTTCGATCCCATGACCCATGAGATCGTGACCTGAGCCAAGTCAGATGCTTAACCAACTGAGCCACCCAGGCACCCCGAGAAAGAGCTGCATTTAATACTAGATGAGACTCATCATGATCTCAGCTACCCACGCTGATAATCAGAGGACCTGGTTTCAAAGAGTAACGCAAGGATGTTCAAGTACAATCTGCAAATACTTATCCAGTTTGTTACTGGATTAATAAGGTGATTTTTGAATTGCTGTGGTGGCTGTCCACTTGAGTCATATGTACAACTTTCTCTCATTCAATGACAGTGACAGTTTCTGGCATTGCTTTTCTCATCATTCATGAACCGGTGGCCATTTACCGAAGATGCTGGAGTCAGAGAAATCACCGCTACCCAACTAGAAGAATTATCGGGGCAAATAATTAACCGGAATCAAATGGAGGCTTTAGCAAAGGAGGAACCAAAAGATACCATCTCAGTATGATCTTCTATTAAACCTGGACATCTTTGGGCCCCTGGACCTATTTAAAGTCTCTTGAACATTTTTAATAGAAATAAACTGTGGCTTTAAAAACGAAAACAAAACAAAGAAGTTGTCCCTACTCTTTAGCTCAGAAGAATTTTTCCAGAATAGGACTGCTAAGGGGGGCGGGGGGGGCAAAACAACAATAATTATGTGACCAACAGCTCCCATTTGATGTGCTATTATACGCATAGTGCAGCACTAAGCACTTTACATACGTATTCTCATTTCATGCTCACAGCTCTAAGGTAGGTATTATTATCTGCATTTACAAACTGTTAGAATAACTAAGATACAGAGATATTAAGCATTTCCCCCATGTTCCTCAGCTAATAAGGAGAGCGGAAATGGAAACTGAGGTCTGGCCCCTAGGTCTGGCCCCTAAGCCTATGCTTCTTCCCAGAAAGCAGGTCAACTAGAAAGATCATGCAGCCAGGAAAAGTGATCTGGAAGAGAGCTAATATTCAAATGCAGAAAAATATGCATGATCCGAAGTCCTGAGTAAAACAGCATGTATGCCATGACCGCAACTTCAGAAAGCTACGGGCACAAGGGCAAATGCTGAACGGGGTGATGCAAGGTAAAAATTATTGAAGTAGATAAGATGACCAATTATTTTTCTCCCCTCAAAAAAAGAATCTCTGAAGTTGTTCTCGATGAAAATGGTTTTATTCAACTTTAAATGTTCCAAAGTCTTTTAGTAGGTTACAAAGAATTTTTCCAGACTTGTATTTTAATCGAAGTGGGAAGGAATTCCCACAGAACAGAGGGACTCTGCTTCATGCTGCAGCATTTCCAATGCAAACTCAAGAGAGCTTCAACAAGCTACCTATGCAAGAGAGTATACCTTGATTATAATTAAGCCTGCGGACAACTTCAGCTTCTCTGAATCAGGCAGTACGCAACCCCTGCCAAGAGGTCGTGGACAACTCTGCTGCATTTACTCAGTTGGAGGCAACCCAGACGGGTTAAGGATTCATGCAAAGATCGCTTTGGCTTTTTTACTTTTTTAATTATTAAAATTTAATGTTTTCTATTCAGTTCTACATTTACTAACTCAGAGTTTCTCACTCAGCACTACTGACATTTGGCACTGGATAATTAATTCTTTATTGTTCTGTGCATCGTGGGATATTTAGCAGGACCCGTGGCTTCCACTCATCAGATGACAGTAGTACCCTCTCCTCTCGTTATGTTAGCTAAAATATTTCTCCATGTTGCCTAAAAGCCACTGCAGGACAAAAATAGCCCCAAATAAGAACCAGGGATCTCACTGTAGCCTCAATCCAACAAAATGGGGAAACACTCCATTCAAGGAGCCTGAGGGATAAAATGAGCTCACGGGAGTTGAGTGGCCCTCCCCAGTCCCATCTTCCTACAAGTAGCTTAAAAGGGAATACTTACAAGGGGATACGTGGAAAGATTTGCAAGTGCACAAAGACCTGCAATTTGCAAAGTCTGGGAGAAAACAGAAGGGATAAACTGGCCTCCACCAATCTGAGCTCCCCGGAAACCTGTCTGCCAGTATATATACAGATCCATACTCAAGAGAATGCACCATGCAGACAGGAAAGATAGGCTCTCAAGTTTTATCGCAGAACGATGAAAGCAAACTCAGAATCTCAGTTATTTACACCATTTCATTTTGTTCACAGCTTCCTCCCTGCCCCCCTACTTGTCCAAGCAAAGAGAGGTGAGGACAAGAGGAGGCTAAGGAAGGAAGAGGGCTGAGGCTGCCCCAGTGCAGCAGGACGCCCCAGCCCCAGCGTGCAGAGGTCCTCAGAGGACCCCTCCTCTCCTTTCCCAGCACAGGGGCCAGCGGTCAGGGAACACACAGAGTAGATGGCAGAGCCAGGGCCCTAAGCCAGGGGAAGGAGGAGGCCAGCAGACATGGGGACAGTGGCGGAGAAAGGAGACTTAGGACGAAGACCACGCACCTAGGCTCAGATGGGTTTCCATCCCTGCTCTGACACTTACTGGCGATGGGACTCCCCCCGCAACCCCAGCCTCCGTTTCCTTGTTTGTAAACAAGAGATAAAACCATCATCTATGTCACAGGATTCTGGTCTAGTGAGGCCAGTTTAAAAGATAAGGCAACACTTTGAGGAACTATTCTGAGAAGCAGACCACAAGCGCCCTTCAAAGCTTTTTCTATATCCAGACTGTTAGAGTAGCCATTGCAGGGACTAGTTCCTGGGCTTTGTTCTTTGAAAGTGATCAGACCAAAATCGATGTTACCAGAAAGCGTATGAGGAAAAAAATGCCAAAAGCCAAGGGGCTGCCAGAGAGCTGTGTGGGGATTCGGGTAGGGCAGAGAGTGCCGACGGGGGCCGGGGGTGGGGGGGCGGTGGTGACAGGACGAAGTATCTGGGTTTCCTTTACTCACTAAGGTTTCTCAGAATGATTTTCCTCCACAATAGTGAGCTTATGGTCACTAAAGCTAAACAATCTTCTTAGAAGTTTTACTGCTTCACTTGGTGTCTTCAGTGCACAGAGGCAGTTGAGCAAAACCATCGAAACAAATGTTAATTAAATCATCAGCACTGTCCAAATAATGGAACAAGTTCTGACAGCTTCACTTGCAACCGTCATAAACAGAAAAAAGGCATATCACATGAACGTGTACGCCTATTGTTTTTTAAAGAGAAGTACGCCAGCTTAAAAGCCTACTTCACTTCCCAGGGCCCCAGCAGTCTCCATTTATTTTGCCTTTTCTCAAATACTAAAATTCAAGACTTCAAAAATGTTTTAATAGTGCCTAATAGGCAATTTTCAAGAAGTACGCACCACATTTTTAGGTTCTGTTTATATGGAAATGTCAAGTTAGTTCATACTGTTTCACCTTACCTCATCAACAAAACCTAGGCAACGCAGAAGAGAGGCAAGCATATATTTTTGATTTGTATTATCTGATATTCCCCAACCTGGCCTCCAGGAAAATAGGTCTATCAAAGCAGAAATGGAGTTTGCTCAGAACATGCAGCTGAACAAAAGCCAACTAAAACACACAGCTTTTGGCATTGGAAAATGATTTCTGAAAAACAAGTTTTATTAGAGCAAACTGCTAACTCCAAACTGAATGCTAAGCCAGTATTCACCTACCTAAAACCAAATCCAATCCAACAGAACTAATCTTTGCAAACTATTATTTAAATGAAATGACACATTTTAAGATCAGCCAAACTGCAGGAGATTCCAAAGCGTACACTCATAAAAATCAAAGCTCTGCCTCATTTGCAATTTTTTTCTTTAATCATCAAATATTGCAAAATATAAATCTGCTAAGTCATCTCAAATATCCACATTGAAAATGAAAGCTACCAAGTACAAATAAAGTTCAAATCCCTGTCGGCTTTTAATACACTCTCAAACTCTGTAACAGTGTTTAATCTAACAAGTGTGACAAATAACTCTAACAGTTTTTAATCCCAGTATGATAAATGGAATTTGGAATAAATTAGTATACTATGAGCTGTCCTCAAAACTTCACGCTATATTTTCAGCTCCACAGTAGCTCTGAAAGAATTTTAACTTCCACTTACTAACAACAACAGGCTACATGAAACAGCTCAGGCTTGGAGGGGTCTGATTTCAACAGCCTGTTTCCTGGGGTAAAGGAGAAAGATGGGGAAATCTTTCATTAGCCATACCAACCTTTACGGTAGAGGAAAAAATGTGTGCAGTTCACAGGACGTACTCTACTTGAAAAGCATTTGTAATCATTCAGTGTAAAATACAAGCATTCAGAAACTAAAAGTTTCTGCTCAGACACAATTTCCTCTTTCTATCTACCATTGAAAGTAGCCATTTTTAGGCAAACTGCACTTTGACTTTTGAAAAAGGTATTAATATAATTGTGGATAATTAGCCGCCAGTAAACGAGTTACCGACACTGCAAATATGCCCACGCTTGATCAAATTATTCTGAACTGACCTCATCCTCCCTAAGCCCCAAGTAAGGAAGAAAACCCTCCACATCCTCTTCCTCCCCCTCCCCCCTCCTCCTTCAGGAAGCCAACCAGCTCTTGCGACCTTGACCCCTGCGTAACTGCACAGCAGACCTATCAAGCTCACGGGCACATGCTAACCCCAGCATGAGCAAGACACCATGAAATCTGAGAAAAAGCAAAAAACAAACCCGAAGGGACAACCAAGAGCTGTAAACTGAAGGGGATGGAGGTGGATGACAGAAGATCAAAGGAAAGATGTCACCTTTCTGACGGGTAAGGAAGAAACAACATAAGTTGTTCAAAATATATTAGAAAGTACAAGTACTTACGAAGAACTAAGCAGAGCTAGCTCCTTAGAAAACATGGGCAGAAAGGCCAAAAATAGATCAAGGAAGAATCAGCATCTGTATCTGGCATAGGTAAGCAATTGCTACCCCATCGAGACCCCAAACTGCATTTAAAAAGAGTAAGAGCATATGTGGTGGGCAGACCATACCACTTTCTCCTGAGGTCGGGGATGGTGGTGGGGTGGCAGCAGTGACACTGTGTTTGTCCCAGACAGTCTCCAAGATACCTATCAAGAAAGGAGAAACTGAGTTTAAGAGAGAAATGAAGTCTAACCTTTAAAAATCAGATTGAGAAAAATGGTCTCATATCTCTGATCAAACATCAGTATTTAAACATCCCTCTCTCCACCGTATGTCCAAGTGGACATTCCTGGACAACACCACTCGGATGTTCCAAACTCCCTTTATTGTCCCCCACAAACCTGCTGCTAGTCCTTACCTCCTCACCCAGCCAACAGCACCATCCCACACAACCTCCGCCTCAGGCCTCTGTTGGCCCATCTGGCCTTGCCCCACCGCGCCACACAAGGCTGCACCCACTGAACTGTGTGCTACTCTGTCCACACCAACCTCTGACCTGCTCTCCTCCTTCCCCCCAAACTTGACCTGCCCCCCCCGCCCAGACTGATGGCCGCTATCTGTCCCTCAGAGTTACACCCAGCTGTCATCTTTCCCAGAAAGTTTTGTCTGCTCCGTTCTGCCTGCGCTTAAAACACACCTCTACTCTAACTCTTAACACACTGGTTTTAGCTGTCTTTCTCCCCTACCAGAGTACCCCATACTAGAGGCAGAGACTGCGTTTTACTCCTCTCTCTATCTCTTTACAGAACCCACCACATAAGATGATGGATTGTAAAAGCTTTTGAAAATACTGTTTTCAAAATATTTAATATTATAATATAGATAAACCTTGAAGTATCACACTATGAAAAAGAAGCCAGACACAAAAGGCCACTTATTATATGATTTCTTTTTTATGAAAAGGCCAAATAGGAAAATCCAGAGAAAGCCAGATTAGTGGTTTCCTAGGGCTCGGGGGGGCGGGGGGGGGGGGGCACGGTAAGGAAAATGTTCTGGAATTAGATGGTATGATCGCTGTGCAACTCTGTGAATATATTAAAAACCACCAAGTTGTAACAATGTAAAATGGTGGATTTTATGCTATGTGAACTAATCCCAATTTTAAAAATTTTAATGTCTGCACAGTAGGATAGAGAGGTATCAGACATGGTCCTTAACTGCAGAAATGTAACCTCTAGTTGGGGGCATCAATAAATGTGCTCTGAATGAAATGCTCTAAGGTGTGGGTTTCTCCTAGGGATGCAGGGAAGGACAGGGGGCAAATGACAAGTTTACTTCTGATCAAGCATTCTTCACCGATTTTAAGTGCCCACTGCATGTCAAGCACTTCTGTAACCCCTACAAAAAAGTTCCTAGACATCCAAGAGGAAAGCCAGGCAGAGGAGCTGGAGATTTTTTTTAAAAGGCTTTTTTCACTACAACATCCCTTGCAGCAGCAAGCCTGGGCCCCCCACCCCCCACCACTCCCCCAACCCGTGCCTCAAGGGTCCTGGGACCAGGGCTGCACCTGTGCCTCCTCACGAGCAGCCTGGCCCTACTAGGCCAACGCGCTCCACCCTCGCCCCACCTTCCGGTCTCATTCTGCGGTTTGCTTTTGCTTTCTGTTTATTCTTACTCCCTACACGCCGTCACAAGGCTCTGACAAAACAAACAAGATGACGAAGAAAATGCTACTTACAACTACAACCTAGCGCACAGGGCGCTGATTCTACATCTGGTCTTCCTTCTCTGCACAAAATTTGCAACTTTCCCATCTTCCTGTTCTCCAACTTCTCCTGATCTTAAATTCAAATCCTTTTCAATAAGGTGCTTGCCACGCACCTTCCTGAGAATGCAGTGCTTGGCATTTCAATCACATCCCTGCAGCCTCATTAATCACAGTTCCCGGGCCGACCAGTACATAAAGACAGTAAAGGAAAGAGGTCACAAATACATTCGGAGGTCCTACCACATGCCGGACACCGCGCCCGCTGCAGACAGCACATGCCACATTCTGTTTTTCAGCTCCGTCACAGTCACAACTAGAACGACTGCTCAAGACTGCAGAGCACCAGCGCCATACTGCTCACCTGTCAGCAGCCCGAGCACGGCCTGCACCTGGTCCAGCAGCAGCTTCCGCAGCTCCTCCTTCCGAGCCACGCTGAGGTCCTCGCGGGGACAAGCCAGCTCTTCCGAAGTCGTCTTCAACATGATCAGCCCGAGGGGGGTTGTCACGGGGGACTGGATCAACTGCAGGGAAAAGGAAGTTCTGAGCAGGCTGTCCAGCTGACGAAAGTACAAGGAGGACGGAGGAACATTAAACCTCGAAGTCCTTGCACGGCTGAATCTCGCAGGCACAGGCCGCATCGCTCAGGGCTCTACAGTCCAGTTAGGTCCCTTTTGGAGCCAAAGTGTATTCTCATCTTAGTCTAAGGACTAAGATTCTAACCATGAACACAATGCTCTTTTACACCTAACATGACAATTTTTTTTACATGTCCACAATCCCAACAGAGCCTTGGTCACTTTGCCCAGATTCAAGTGTTAGCGACAGAGATATGTGTGAACCAATTTGTGGTATCTTTCCAACATTCGGGTGTTAAATCAATTTTATATTTCTAAGCTTTGCATGCTTCATGAAAGTTCAAGACTAAACATGTGGCAGAGCAGAAACATGCATACACGTCATCCACCCGTGACTTCGTCATCGACTACGGTTATGATTTTGCAAATACCTACGTAGCAAATTTTAGTTACTCTTTCTATCACCAGCAATATCCACTATGCTGTAAGTTGCCTTAAACAAGAGACAGAAGGTACACCTTCAAGAGCATAACCCTACTTAGCTCTTTCTAATCAATTTCACAAAATTCAAAGCATTACCTACTATTCATTTTTTAGTTTCCAGAAACTGGTAAAAGCAAGTTGCCACTAAAATTCTGTTGACTTATAGGCTACAATCTATTAAAAGACACACAATTGAAGAAACACTTGACCATCTTCTTTAATCATAATAATAAGTTGTCTGTTTATTCAATCTACGAAACAAGGGAGGAGGAGGGCACCGGGAACGGCAGCTAGGCAGAACGCCTCTTCACCTCAAGCAGCGCAGGGCACTTGCCTTTCCCTTGAAAACAGCTCTCCCCACTGCAGACCAAGGGAAAGCTCATCCCAAAGAGCAGGAAATGCCTTCAACAGTGTGAACTCAGGATAAACTCAACTGCCCTCAGAAGCAGCATGATATAAAAACAGTGGCCATGAGCAGCGTGTTGAAAATGCTATTACATCAATTCTCTTAAAGGCTACAACTTCAAATACATCCTCTACAAGCTTTCTCTTCATTCTGTGCAAGTCTGGGCTACTTCTAACAACTTGAGAAAATGCAAGAGGGGAGGAACAAGAAATCCCCGCAGTACCTTTTCTTTACAGAATAAAGAACTGACCCTTCATAAGCATCTCTGTCCATCCAGAGGCCTGTGGGTTACCAATCCATACTTTAGGGTGATGGGCGTTAAGGAGGAGGGCACTTGTTGGGATGAGCACTGAGTGTTGTATGTAAGTGATAAACACTGAATTCTACCCCTGAAACCAATACTGCACGGTATGCTCACTAACTAGAATTTAAATAAAAAATTGAAAAAAATAAAAATAATAAAGAGTTCATTACTTTCCTCCCCCACTACCCCCTTACACTTCTGTTTTTCTCCTCTACCTCTTTTGTCTCTATTTCCCCCCAAAGCCCTCATTCTTACTCTCTCAGCTGGGAATGCCTTGTATTACCAAATATTCCATTTGGCAATACATTTTTCTGTAGATTCGAAATGCTCTGTGCTCCCAGAAGTAAAAAATTCCTACACTATGGAAAATGCAGCCGAAAGCCCTCCTTTCTCTCATTTGGAAGAAGGGGAGACAACCAGGCAAAAGCCAACTGAAAATTAAAGTTATTCTTTACCTGAAAGAACAGCTGGATCAAATATTTTTTTCCTCACTAGCTTTGTGTCCAGAAGGCTTGTTAGCAAAATAGTGTTTCCCTTTACCATCTTCACATTTATAATTTATGCTCGTAACATAGGTAATTCTTGGCAATTTATTTTAACAGAGAATAAGCACTTTTAGGTTGAAGTTCAGGTTCTTAGTGTGAGCTTCTGAAAAAGTTCAATGATTTTTATTACACCACCGTACCAGAAAAGAAATGTCAATTCTTTCTATGCTGCTTGCCCCTTAATTATCTGGTACCAGGCACAATGTGACCACAGGTCCAGCTCAGCAGATTTCAGGAATCTGAAGAATAGACTTTAAAAGGTGTGATGTTTGGGCTTGTGTTTGGGGGAAAGAAGGAGCAGAGGTCAGTTTCGACTTCAACTACTTCCTTCTCTGGTGGCTACAAAGGGTCTAACCAACACATAGAATTGCAAGTATCCTTCTGGGGCCCCAAATCAACTCCCCTCGGCCTGCTATGTGGTCACCACAATGATGGCATAAATTGCATAGATACCCAGCCAACCATCACAGAGTTAAAAACAAAAGCAAACTACTATGCACCCCAGACAGCAAGCAGGCAATGATGGGAACTGAGCCAGAAAAAAACCCTTTTAGATGCTTTATTCAAAGGATCATAGTATGGGGGCACCTGGGTGGCTCATTGGTTAAGCAACTGACTCTTGCTCTCAGCTCAGGTCTTGATCTCAGGGCCGTGAGTTCAAGCCCCACACTGAGCTCCACAGTGGGCATGGAGCCTACTTTAAAAAAAAAAAAAAAAAAGGATGGGGCGCCTGGGTGGCTCAGTCGTTAAGCGTCTGCCTTTGGCTCAGGTCATGATCCCGGGGTCCTGGGATGGAACCCCGCATCGGGCTCCCTGCTTGGTGGGAAGCCTGCTTCTCCCTCTCCCACTCCCCCTGCTTGTGTTCCCTCTCTCGCTGTGTCTCTCTCTGTCAAATAAATAAATAAAATCTTTAAAAAAAAAAAAAGGATGTAGGATGGTGAGACTGACTCCAGAACTAGTTTGCTCTTGTTTGCCACTACCTAAAGAAAAGTTTACTTTGTCATCATTATCAAAAATGTCATCAACTGGAGGCGCAGTTAGTTAAGCATCTGCCTTTGGCTCAGGTCATGATCTCAGGGACCTGGGATCGAGCTTCACATTAGGCTCCTTGTTCAGTGGGGAGTCTGCTTGCCCCTCTGCCCCTTCCCCCTACTCCTGCTCTCTCTCTTTCAAATAAATAAAATCTTAAAAAAAAAAAAACCAAAACCATCAGCAACGGAGCACCATCATTCTAGACATGGCTTTCATGCCACTGACTGGTTCTCATGGATAAATGAGAAGCAGAGAATACGACTAAAAGGATTTTAGAGATCACTTTGTCCAATCCTCTTGTTTCACAAAGAAGGAAATGGAGGCTCCCAAACGGGCAGGAGTTGCTAAAATCAAAGATGATCTGTGACAAAAATGGACACAGACCCCAAACCCACATGCTCTCTCCATGCTCTTTTCACTACGGGGTGTTTCAAAGTCACAAAGGTTGCATGAGGTAAGCAGAGTCACTTCTGAAGGGTGGGAAGAGGGAAGTGGTGAACAGAGAAAGAAAACTAGCCTTTTTAAACTTCATGAGCACTTCACCTAAAAATGCTCTTCCAAATTGTCATTTGTTACCAGTAATTACATTATACTTCAAGGGTAGACAGGAAATGTCTGCTCTCCATCACAGGAAGTGATCCCAGCTGGGTGGAAACATGGCTCCTCCTCACCCGCTGCGGCTAGCACTGTGCATCTCCGGCTCACATTCCACTGCTTCTTCTCACAGTCATGCCCCACACTAGCCCACCTAAGAACGCATTCTCCCTTTATGGGGGCGATGGAGAGTTACCACAACTGTCCTCATCTTGGAGTGAAGGCAAATGTATCAGAGAGAGCCAGGAAAACCTCTCACCTCATGTCCTACCACTCTAGGTTCGCTAGCCTCCTTGCCATTCCTCAGGGAATGGCACTCCCTCACTCAGGGTCTTTGCACCTGCTAGTCCCTCTGCCTCAAATGCTGTTGCCCTAGATACCCACATGGCTCACTCCATCACTTCCACCTAGGTTTCTGCTCAAATGGCTGCTCCTCAAAAATGCCTTCTATTATCATCCCATCTACATAACACCCCCTGGCATTCTCTCTTTCTCCTTACCCTGGATTTAAATTTCTTTGTCATACTTATCACGACCTGTAAGCTTATTTGCTTATTGTTAATGGATGTCTGCCCCTTTGAGATTATAAGCTCCACAAAGGCAGGGACACTGTTTTGTTTCATCACTTTATCTCCACCAGATGTTTGGTTAGCACATGGCTGGTATTCAACAAATACCTTACTGAATAAATGAATGAATCTCCTTTGCAGCATCAATCCAATAAATCTCTAGATAAATGGATCACTATAGAGAACAAAAAACAAAAATTGAATGAAGAATTTTTGTGCCACTTTGAGGAAATTTGAGAGAAGCAATAAGGATGCTGTATTTTTTCTTAGCGGCCTCATCATTCAAATGCTTTGTAGAGAGAGCAGACAAAATGTTAGAAAATGGTATTGTTCTAGAAAATCCTGAACTTATAGTCACTGAGACACTGATTTTCAGAGAATTTTATTCCTATAAACTGTACATAATCCCCATTTCCTGCATACCCACAACTATCTCAATAATATGAAAATGTTTACAACTTCATCACAGGATTCAAATGAACAACAGCATCTCCTGCCTGGCTTTTAGGTCCCACCTTTACTCTGATGAGTTCGAAATCCTGACCAGTGGCCAGATCTCTTTCCTGAGCCCCAGATCCACAGCTCTCAACGTCTCACTAGATATACACAGAACACACAAATCCTGAATGCGCTTTCTGCCAAACTGAATTCCCCATCTTCTACCCAAATCCATTTCCTCTTCCTTCACCCCTGGCCTAGAAAATCGGCTACCTGAAACAGAAACCTCCCTTCCCTCACCCCTACCACCCCATCACTGACCAAAGCCTCTTGACTGGGTGTCCTAAGTGCCCCACCTCCACCCACCAGAAAGGCCTCAGGGCCAGGTCCTCCCTGTCTCGCTCACACTCAGGGCTCCAGCCCCTCTGCAATCTAGACCCCTACTGTTACAGAACTGTCTTTCCAACACAAAAATGTGGTCATGTGTTCTCCCCTCTACACACTTTTCATTAGCTCCCAAGGAAGGACTATGAATTACAAATCGAAGCCCCCTGCAAGAGCAAGGCCCTTCCTGGCCTGGCCCTGGCCCTGGCCCATCAACCTGGCCACTTACTCCAGCACCCAACACTGAAAATACCTCAGTTCCTGGAGGCTAAATGCTATGCCACCACAGTAATTACCGCAGTGCTGGATAATTATTGTTTGCATAGCAAGCCCCCCCATCAAATTATAACTATTGAAGGCCTCACCCTTGTACCCCTACACCTGACGCAGTACCTAACAGGTTTTCAAATCTTTGCTAACAAAATTTCACAAGAGGTTAACAATGAGACTGGGTTTTCCCCCCTCTTTTGCCACTGCACAAAGGCACAACATGTCTCAAGAATACAAAGTTAAGCGAATGAGATCATTTATCCTATAATGAGCTTGCTACTACGGTTCCAAAATGCTAATCTTAAAACTCCTCTTCAAGACAAGGAAATAATCACTTCTACAATTTATGAGATGAGGTTTTCTTAGGTGAATCCTTACCTGTACAATGTTCGTAAAAAAGTCATGGTAGAACATGGGCCAATCTTGACGGCCAATATCAACAATAACTTTGCAGAGCTTGTTCCGGATAAAGTAAGGTAAGGTTTTGTGGTGAGCCAAAAGGAGTTTGGGCAAGCAGCTACGGATTTCCATCTTATCTTGAGATGGGACCCCAAGCCACATTTTATTGATCAGATTCTGAAACACAAATATACATCTTTTAAGTTAACCATTCTATACACAAAAATAACTGGTTTTCATCCAATGGTTAGCTATATCATCTCAAACAAAAAACCCTGCTTTTAAACAAAGGCTTAGAGCAATTTGGCAATAAGAGTACCAGGAATATTTAAACCCTATAATACAACATTCTCACTCCTGGAAAGATCTGCTAAATAATTTCACAGAAACAAAAAGCTCCATGTGTAAAACTTTCTATTACACCACTGCCTCTGATGGCCACCAAAAAATGGCAAAAACAACTTTAATGTTCAAAAATAGGAGAATGGCTTGGTGAACAATGGTATTAAACACTTAGTGGCATGAGCAACAGGATTAGAATTAGCTTAAAAAAAAAAAAGATGCACACAGAAATACAAAAATTGGAAGACAGTTGAAATAAATGAAAATGTTTGTGGTTGGGATAATGGTATTATGGGTACCATCTCTCCTCCCAAACTGTTTTTCTTTCATTATCTTTCTCTTTTAAATGATAACATGGAAGGAAGAGTTCCATGTTACCACCAACAGCCCACCTACTGACCCAGCCCCATCTCACCCTTCTGGCGTCAAAGATGGAAAGGTGCCCCAGCACAGCAGACATCCCGACAGAGGCAGCATCTGGGAGGTACCCCTGCACTGAGCTACCACTCTTTCCCAGCTGTCTGCACACTGAAGCTCAAGTCCAGTGCCAACGACCCGGCACTATGACCACAAAATACTTTTCCAAACAGTAGAGAGTCATCTGGCAACTCACCTCAAACACCGTTAAGCTATACATCATGACATAGTCATTCCCAGTGCTGGAGAGGAAGTATAGGCAGAGTCTCCAGGCTCCTATTTGCTGCGCAAAGTTATCAAGAAGCTCCTCTGGAAAAGTTAAATAGCAACAAAACAAGGCTATGAAAAGACATGAAATCAACACAAGACTGGGCTGTCACATTAGTTTTTTAAACACACATCTCTCCATATCATGTGATTGATGCCAAAACCACTAGAAAAATCCGGCCGTGTCTTCGAGATAGAAAGGAGAGACCACGCAACATGACCATGGGCATGGATGGTGTGTTCAGCCATCTACAATCCAATAGCCTACGGGCACTTGTTTAGGCAGAGAAACTTTCATTGTTGAAGTTCTTACTTAACCTGGGGCACCTGGGTGGCTCAGGCAGTTAAGCACCCGGCTCTTGATTTCAGCTTAGGTCATGATCTCAGGGTTGTGAGATCAAGCCCCATGTCAGGCTCCGTGCTGGGCGTGGAGCCTACTTAAGATTCTGTCTCTCCCTCTCCCTCTGCCCCTACACCCCTCAAAAAAAAAAAGTTCTTACTTAACCTAAGTATGGACAGTTATAAAATATCATTTCAAAAAAAAAAGATAATTTCACCTTATAAACTATGGCTAATTGTTAACCTGTTTCCTCTGGGGTACTGGCTATATATATTTCCATAGGACTCACACTGTTCACACAAACACACACAAAATGATGGCTAGAGAAGCAGGACAAGAAAATATTAATTAATTATATAATTAATGCAGGGCAGGAAAAAATGCAAGAGAATTAAAGATGGATAATTCTCTTTATTTGGTTTTCATTTGGTTTTATTTTAAAATACCACACTAAAAACAGTCCGTAAATAAGAGTAGCAATCATGGAAGTTGCCAGGAGCAGCCCAGCCCATATCAAATCAGTTGGAAATGATTTTCCTCCTCCTTAAGACTGCTGGTAGCATCAGCCAGAACCCCAAGACAGCAAGCACTAAGAATCTGTCACCACATTTCTGGACACGCTATCCCTTAGTCACCTTGCTGCTCTGGTCATGAAATACAACACAAAAGGGGTAAAAATTTTAAAAATAAAAATAAACATAAATTTAAAAGGGTGGGGCGCCTGGGTGGCTCAGATGGTTAAGCGTCTGCCTTCGGCTCAGGTCATGATCCAAGGGTCCTGGGATGGAGCCCTACATCAGGCTCCTGACTCAGCGGGGAGTCTGCTTCTTCCTCTCCCTCTGCCTTTCCCACTGTGCTCTCTCTATCTCTGTGTCTCAAATGAATAAATAAAATCTTTAAAATTAAAAAAAAAGGGTAAAAAAAATAATTAATTTAAAAATAAAAAACTTTAAAAGACTAAAAAGATATATAAACGTCAACACCCCAACAGATTCTAGGACGCGCCTGGAAAAGCAGGAAGTACAGCAGCCCGTTCTAATCCTAAAATCACTGCTCTGCTAGTACTCCACAGCCTCACTGAAAATCCCACACAAGGAAACTGATGACCTAGTCTTTCAACTAAGGGAAAGTCTGTAAGAATCCCAGAGCGGGAGTCGAAACAGACAGAATGAGCTCTGGCCGGAAATGAGGAACTCTGGGCTAGAGACTCTGCCGCTCATTCACGGAGTCTCATTCCAGGTGATCACTGCTCCTCTTTGAGGCTTCGGCTTCCTCCACTGTGAAAATGACCAGATTGTTCCTCGAGGTTCCCTGCGAACAGCTCTATCTCTAGAGCACTAATAACACGCCTTTGGTGGAGGGTGGGTGGAGCCCCTGTAATAAAAGGCCTCCTTCCTTTCTCCCACCTCACTAGGAAAGCCTTCAGTTTCTCCTAAGATACCAAAAAAGAAGCAAGTGGTTCCAGCCCACACACTCAGACAAAGCTCCAAAGACTAGGTACAAAGAGAACTGAACTAAGGCACACCCACCATACGGAACCAAGCCCCCAGGGATCCCCCTTAGCTTGCATTTAAATTAGACATTTGTAGTATCTGGTTATTTAACACTGTTTTTTTTTTTTAAGATTTTATTTATTCATTTAATAGAGAGACAGCGAGAGAGGGAACACAAGCAGGGGGAGCGGGAGAGGGAGAGGCAGGATTCCCGCGGAGCAGGGAGCCCAATGCAGGGCTCGATCCCAGGACCCTGGGATCGTGACTGGAGCCGAAGGCAGTCGCCTAACCAACTGAGCCACCCAGGCGCCCCTATTTAATGCTATTTTATATCAGATTAGAATACGATTTTAGTTCAGAGGTTCCACTTTTAATTCATGAACACTGAAAGTGAGCAATATTTGCTTTGCAAACCAAAAAATTAAGAGAAAAACCAAAAGCACTTCAATTAATAAGCTAAAAATAGGACTTCAAAGATATTAGTGTTGGGCTACAGCAGACTGATGTAAGGGACAGATCCTTCACCTGCTTTGGTAAACATCACCATTTTTACTTAAGTATAAGGTACTCTGGTAGCATAAAACTAACGAGAAGATCACTCTGGAGGCAGAAGGGTCAGCCCAACTGAGTAATAAGAGAATCTAGGGAAGCAAGCAGAGTGGATCTTCTAAGCCAAATGCCTGATTATCTATTGGGTTCAGCTTCCGTCAGCACTCCCGTTTACAAATATTCTAATTCTCTACTTATACTCCCTAAGAAAAGATAGGCATAACATGCACAGGGCAGGCCTAAAACCACCAAGTTTAAAAGTTAAAAAAAAAAAAAAGGTAAGAAATTCACAACTACCAGGAGCTGATATGATGTTCAAAGAATGCAAGAGAAAATGGGCTACAGCCAAAGGTCTACTGGCCACCTGGAAACCCAGACTCCAGTCAAGCTCTGGACCAAAGGCAAAAATCAGTCACAACACTCAACTGGCCAATATGACTTAGAGAAGCCAAGTGGGGCAGAGAAATGGGCCTTCCAAGTCCTAGAGACCGAAAAAGCCCTCTCCAGAGGTGAAAGCAATGAACGTGAGGTCAGTACAGAGCAGTCAGACATCCAAGGGGAAAAGCCTTTAGGTTGAGATAGGGAAGAAAACATTTTTGTTTGGAAGTTCTGGGGTTAAGTGAGGACTCAGAGGGAAAAAAAGGATTACTCCAGAAACACAGGGCAACATGTCTCATGTCTCGGAGGCAGAGATCTGACACTTGAATACACATTCTAGTTTATGCTATGCTTTAATGAATATTGTTCATGTAAATGAGTATGAAATTCAAAAGGAAGTTCTAGAAAGAGCTGAGGTTCCCAGAAGACCCAAGGTAATTATATCTACATCTCTGTGTTGTTTGAAGCCTTTACTCATCAAAACTTGCAGAATGGGAGAGACAATAGTAGAAAAAGAAGCAAGAAGCCCCCAAAGGGAATACCAGTTAAAGGACCTGTGGGCACTAGATAAGGTTTGGATGAGACTTCCACACACCAAAACCGTGTCATTTTGACACTTTCATGAGGTTCTGTTTAAGTTAATAGTCGCAGGCCTCTCTCACGTAAGTTTAACACTGCTGAAATTCAAGAACCAAAGCAGCGGAGGGGGTTTTCCACACTCGGCCAAAGGGAAGAAAACCCATCACTCTGGATGACAGTGGGCCCCATGGACTACAGTCCTTGCGCAGCTAGATTGGCAGCCGCCACCAACCAGCAAAATGAGAGCAAGAAGAGCAAGAATTCCAGGCGAAACAAGCAGGCTTGACTAGCGCAGGCAACAAACTCCTTCCCCCTCACTAGGGCCTTTTCGTCTTAAGTGACTCTTGACGACTCAACACTTCACTTACCTATCTCACGTTTTCTTTCATTGGTTGTACAATCGTGGAAAAATTCTGTCATCAGACTTTCCAATGCCCTGAGGGAGGCTTCTTCAGATGCCTAACAAAGGAATTTGAAAGAAAAGAAAAAAATCAGTAACTGTGTCTCCTGCTTTCTTCACTTCCCTCCAGGTCACATTTGTAATTTATTTCCTCAAACATCTTGGTTCGACATTCTTCAAATGCATGGAATTCAGAAAAACTGAAGGGAATTTCCCAGCTGGCTCAAAACCCAAATTTTGAGTATACTCTATGAATTCATGCTACCGTACAATCGATTCTCAATTATTTATGCTAAGGAAAAGGGAATAACTCAAAATATAATTCCGGAAATATATTAAAAGCAAAATAACAGCCCCTGGCCCTGACTGAACAGGCAGAGTGAAGAGACTGAGAGAGAAGGCTAGGGCTCCCTAGAGACTTCCTGTCGCTAATACATTTGCCCCAAGTCTAAATAATTAGCCAAATCTGGATTCAGAAGAACTGCAGTTAAACTGCTGCATGGATCCGTGGGGGTTCTGAAGGCACTTCTGGAGTCACATGTTCTGACAACTCTCAATCTCGAATTTGAGAGCCAAGAGCCAAGTTGAGCGGGAACTCAAAATGAGCACATCCCAACCATGGACCCACAGCCAGCCAGATTCTCAGCAGAGCTGCTCCGGTGGAGAATGAGAGGAGAGGGGCTCTCGACCCCAATGCCCGACCTCTCCCTCTTCCACGTGGAGCCCCAAACCCATATACTCTTCTCCCACTCACGTAGGAGACGTCGTTTGAAGCAGTGCGTTGGAGTCAACACCCCTTCACTCACCCGTCTGCAGAAAGGTGAGCATTCCTAGACCATTTCTGAATCCTCACTGGCATTATCTACCCAGAGATAATCAAGAGCCAAGAGCAGTTCTGATTTCTTAATTATCTCTTAATTCCAGTCTCCCCACCTTCCCCCCCTCCTCCCTTCTCCACATCCTCTCCATTGCCCCCAGAGTGAGAGCAGACTCCAAAAACTGCATTTTAAAACAAATCCACACTCAAATGTACATATCAACTGTAATATCACCAGAGGCCTCCACTTGGTAACTGACTTTTGAAGACACTGAGGAACCTGGGCCATCTCTGTGGATAAACCAGCACTTAGGACTGGTACCGATTATAGAGGCTGAGTCAGGCTTGCACCAGCCCATCGACAACTAGCAGAACAAGCACACTGCAGAGCACACGGGGGCTCCGCATTCTAACAGAGCCAGGCACGGCTGTCCCTCCGATGCTACAGTCACATATGAACAGCTGTGCCAGGACAACTCACAATGACATGCTGAGTGATGCATCACTGCCCAAGAGCTTTAGCACTTGGGAGTTGTCTGAATTTTGTATTTATGATCAAGATTAGGCCTCGAATCTTACTCTTTTTTCAAACCAATGAATCAGTTCAACTGAAAAATATCCTTGGATTCCAAGTTAAGCTGTTTTATTAAAAACTACACATTTTGGGGTGCCTGGGTGGCTCAGTAGTTAAGCGACTGCCTTCGGCTCAGGTCATGATCTCAGGGTCCTGGGATTGAGCCCCACATCGGGCTCCTTGCTCCACGGGAAGCCTGCTTCTCCCTCTCCCACTTCCCCTGTTGTGTTCCCTCTCTTGCTGTGTGTCTCTCTCTCTATTAAATAAATAAAATCTTAAAAAAAAAACCAACAACAGGGGCGCCTGGGTGGCTCAGTTGGTTAAGTGACTGCTTTCGGCTCAGGTCATGATCCTGGAGTCCCTGGATCGAGTCCCGCATCAGGCTCCCTGCTCGGCAGGGAGCCTGCTTCTCCCTCTGACCCTCCCCCCTCTCATGTGCTCTCTCTCTCTCATTCTCTCTGTCTCAAATAAATAAATAAAATCTTTAAAAAATAAAAAATAAAAAAACCAACAACAACAAAAAACCACACATTTTGGGGCTCCTGGCTGGCTTAGTCGGTAGAGCGAGTGACTCTTGATCTCAGGGTCGTGAGTTCGAGGTCCATGTTGGGCATGGAGCCTACTTAAAAAAAAAAAAAACACTACACATTTTTTCAAATGGAGAAATTGAAATGTCAGGCTAAAAGAAGCCTGCAATCTTTTTCACCTGTTTCAAGTTTTTGTGTTGATCAAAACATCCTCACTGTTCTCGCTTTCTATGTAAATGCTGAAAATTCAAATTCCTAAAATGAATGATATAAATAAAAGAATGCTTTGGTCTGTTTCATAAATCGACTTGGGATACCCATTTCATTTGAAAAAAGGATTTACTGTTTTAAGAAAAGTTTCTAGGAAGATACGAAAGAATCAAAGGAAATCTCACAAGTAACTTACTGGCAAAAAAATAAAATAAAAATTAACGTAAATTGAAAGATATCTGTTGAACTTAAGTCAGCTATTTAGTTAAAATAAACGAGTTCCTCTGAAGCCAAATGGGTCCCTGAAAACTAAGGACACATTTTCAAATCCCACCTGCTCCACAACTTTTTCTTGTAGTGAATCATTCCTAGCAAACACCTGAGCTCATCACATTCAGGCACTCAACGCATCAAGGTCTATTTTGTACTGGTTCTTGAGGCAGAAGTTTGTGAACTTGACAATTACCAGCCATGCATTAAATGCTACTGGGGCATGTTCAGGACAATCTCTCCAAAGAATGCAATTCCAGCTCCATTCCCAGTCCCATCCACTCCTCCCCTGCTCCAACCCAAGAAGCATTCCAGCAGAAAAGCAGAAAGATGAAAGTATCCAAAAGGATCGCAGATTGGATGCTCTCCACCAAACGATGGTTACATGAAAAAGGAAACTCTAAAACCTAACCCAGTAGGGTGCTTCCCAACAAGAACAAATAGTGTGCTGTTTGCATTTTCAATCACTTCGATAACTGTATAAGTACTAATACCTACCTCAGAGTGCCCCATGTAAAGCTGCTATGTAAACTCTAAAAAATTATCTAATTCATAGTTATGGCTGTTATCATTTGTATTTGGTCTCAAATACCAAATGAAAACAGACCAAAACAAAAAAAAAGAGAAGTGGTCAGGCCCACTTTGAAACTGGAGATTCATGTCCTCAGGCTTTACAGGCTTTGTCCAAACATATCTAGTGAGGCTTTTCCAACTGGATTTCAAAAATGAAACTATGTTAAGTCTACAGGAGACAAAAAGGAGACTAAGGCCTTGCCAAAGTCATACAATTAGAACAGAGATGTAAAGACGTAAAAGACAGGCTCAAGACCTGCAAATGGTCAAAGGATATTGGAGAATTCACCCCAACTAGCAAGGAGGCTACTGGAACCTTTGCCAGAGGTTTCAAGCAGGTAGTGAAGCCAAAATCCAGATTGCTGTGGGTTTAGGAATTAAAGGCAAGTAAGGAAGTGGTAATATTCCAGCAGACTACACTTTCCAGTAATAAAGGGACAAAGAACATAAAACAAAAACCAAATGCCACGATGTGGTAGGAAGAGAAGGCTCCAATTCCCAAAGACCATTCAAGCACCACACTAATTTATAAAGCACATTCAGGATTCAAATACACCCAACTGCTTCCCAGCTTGTGCTTGGGATTTAAGATGCAGATCTTGAAGAACGAAGGAAAGAAAAGATTAAATTTAAACCAAGTAAGACACATTCACATGAAAAAAATCCCAGGTGAACTGCAGATATAAAATGTGAGAGATAAAATAGTAAAGCTTCTAGAAGACAATATAGAACATCTTCATGACCTTCGAGTAGGGGAAAACTTCTTAAATAAGACACATAAAAGCACTAAACATAAAGGAAAAGATAAATGAGAACATTCATCAAATGGCACAATGAAGAGAGTTCAAAAGAAAGCCACAAAATGGGCTAACAGAGGATAACTAACAGAGGACTCAGAGGAAAAACAAATGACTCAATTTTTTTTGACACGCAAATAGTTCATCGTAAGAAGGTATTCAAAAGCCTATACAGAAAATTAAGTGCTCAACCTCATCAGTCGTCAGGAAAATGCAAATTAAAAATACGATGGTTTACCCATTCACCAAAATGGCTAAAATTAAAAAGACAATAACAAGTGTTGGTAAGGATGTTGAGCAACTGGAACATGCATAGAGTGCTGCTGGTGGGAGTATGCACTGGTATAACCACTTTAGAAAACCATTTGGCTGAATGGAAGAAGACATTTGCAAATGACATAGCCGATAAAAGGTTAGTATCCACAATATATAAAGAAATGATACAACTCGACACCCAAAAAGCAAACAATCCAATTAAAAAATGGGCAGAAGACAAGAATACTCATTTCTCCAAAGAAGACATCCAGATGGCCAACAGACACATGAAAAGATGCTCATCATCATCATTCATCATCAGAGAAATGCAAATCAAAATTACAATGAGATACCACCTCACACCTGTCAGATTGGCTAAAACCAACAACACAAGAACAACATGTGTTGGTGAGGACTTAGAGAAAAAGGAACCCTCATGCACTGTTGGTGGGAATGCAAACTGGTGCAGCCACTTTGGAAAACAGTATGGAGGTTCCTCAAAAAGTTAAAAATAGAACTACCCTATGTCCAGTAATCACACTAATGTTTATTAACCCAAAAAATATAAAAACACTGATTCAAAGGAATACATGCACCCCTATGTTTATAGCAGCATTATTTACAATAGCTGAATTATGGAAGGAGCCCAAGTATCCATCGATAAATGAATGGATATAAAGGATTTGTGGTATATATACACAATGGAATATTATTCAGCCATAAAAGAATGAAATCTTGCCATTTACAACGACATGGATAGAGCTAGAGAGTATAATGCTAAGAGAAATAAGTCGTCTGAGAAAGACAAATACCATAGGATTTCACATGTGGAATTAAGAAACAAACAAAAATGAGCAAAGGGAAAAAAAGAGCGACAAACCAAGAAACTGACTCTTTAAATTACAGAGAACAATCTGATGATTACCAGAGGGGAGGTGGATGAGGGATGGGTAAACAGGTGATGGGGATTAAGGAGTGCACCTCCCATGATGAGCACAGGGTGATGTATGAAGTGTTGAATCACTGTATCGTACAC